TCACAGGGCTGTTGTAAGGATAAAATAAAAGAATGATGTAAACTGCGTTCAGCCCTTATTATGGAGAAGAGTAGGATATAAATATAGTTGAATATTGGGGGCAGATAAACAGGTTAGTCAGTGGGAAGGGGGCTGGGTGGCAGTGTTGCTGTTTGCTCTGAAAGCAATTCCTTCTTTTAATTGTTTTTAGCTGGTTTTGTCTTCTAGTTTTATTTTCAGAGTCACTGGCTTGATCTGTTTTATCAAGAAGTAGCTGCCTTTGGCAGCCTCAAATGTTTTTGGTTTAGTTGTTTTTGTTTGTTTGTGTTTGCCAGTTGAGTGTGAACAGGCATTTACAGCTTGTGCTCTGCTTTGGAGGAGTACTATTTTAGCTGATTCTAATTGATTTTAGCCTTTGTTTTAAATAGTTCTTCTTTCTATTCTGTTTTTAACTTTCCCCCTCCTTCTGCTTAAAGACGGGGGTGTCTTTTCTTTCTCTTACAAGGGAGAAGTGAAAGCTCCCTCTATAGCCTTATCTCAGCATTCAGGCAATCCCAGCTGCTATACACATAAAATGGAGTAGTTTCTTTAATTAATCAAAGCTGCTACTGCAGCTACTCATCCGCTAAGTGTAGTTAGGGCTCTAACTCCTAACTAGTTTATTTTTACTTTCTTTCTTCCCCCCCTTCCTTCTTCATCCCCCTTCTAACACTTCATCTTACTTTCCTTTTATTTTATTTATATGGTGTTAGCTGAAATATTTACTGGCTTTGAGTTAGGGGTAAGGTGGGGTTGGGAAGGCAAGATGATAGCTCTGTCTCAACTCTTGCTATTTATATTATTATTTTATTTATATGGTGTTAGCTGAAATATTTACTGGCTTTGAGTTAGGGGTAAGGTGGGGTTGGGAAGGCAAGATGATAGCTCTGTCTCAACTCTTGCTATTTATATTATACTAGAAATAAGGCCCGTTGTGGAAATAAATACAATGAGCTCTAGAAAGAGACTCTGGGCAGGTGCCCTGGCTTTGAGCATTCAGTGTCAATTTGCTGTGGCAACCTCAGCAAGGTATAATGACACAGAGCTTACTGTTTTCTCCAGGGGAACTGATCTCTGCCATCTGAAGAGCACTTGTAATTGACTTCAGTTTTCCATCTCTCCTCCACACCTAGAGCCGCTACCTAGGAAAAGTACAGTCTTTCTCCTCAGTGGGGACCCAAGCAGGAGAGGAAGTGACCTCATCAGGGTATAATGACTCAGAGTCCACTGTGCAAAGCAGTCATTTTCTCCAGTGGAATTGATCTCTGCCATCTGGAGAGCAGTTTTAATTCTGAGTCATCTCCAGTCCTCCCCTGGAGACTGGCAGCAATGGTCCCCCAGGAGGAAATGGCTGGTTTGGTCTCGGATCACGCCCTCAGCGCGAGCTCGGCGCCACCGTCTCTCTAGCCATCTCAGTTCTCGCTTCAGCTCTCACAGCTCCTGGGTATACCAAGGCGCTTGCCTAACACGAGTGCAGAGAGGGCACCTGGGAGCAATCTCATCGATGGCTGAAGAGAGCCGGATATGCCAGTCCTCCACCAGCTCATCCAACAAGCTGCCAGGGGGCCTCGGATCCCTCAGGGCCATCTGGAACCACACTGGGTCCATTTGGCGCCGCGAGCGAGCAAAAATCTGCTCGTCGCCTAAACAAGGTTGGGGTGGACCATTCAGACGGGCCTTCAGGGCCAGGTGGTCCAACCATGGCACTGCCTCTGCAGTGATCCGGTCCACTGTCACCCCCACCGCAAAGATCAAATCGAGCATGTGACCGGCCCAATGCGTGGGAGCTGAGACAAATTGAGAGAGTCCCAGTGCCGCCATGGATGACACCAGGTCCACAGCCCGGCTGGAGGTTGCATCCTCAGCATTGACGTTGAAGTCACCCAAGACGATCAGCCTAGGGTGCTCCAAACCCAGCCTGATACGGCCTCCAGCCTCTCTGACATGGGAAAACTATTTCAAGAAGCTATTCTCCAATGCTACTGCTAGTACACCTAGTACATCCTTTATTATTCCTCTTGATGTAACAGCATCTTGATCCGAGGTATCAATTAAGGAGGTTATTTGCCTTATCAAGGAATTAAAACTAGGAAAAGCCCCAAGTTCTGATCTAATTCCTAATGAGCTATTTATGGCTAATCCGTAATGGTGGGCCACAGTTCTGGTCCCAATTTTCACTCAAATTAACATCAGAGGACAATTAAGGAGGTCATTTGCCTTATCAAGGAATTAAAACTAGGAAAAGCCCCAAGTTCTGATCTAATTCCTAATGAGCTATTTATGGCTAATCCGTAATGGTGGGCCACAGTTCTGGTCCCAATTTTCACTCAAATTAACATCAGAGGACAAATACCCGATTTATGGAAGCACTGTACTATTGTTCCAATATTTTAAAAGGGATGTAGAAGTGACCCATCCTGTGAATGACCAATTAGCCTTCTTACTTCTTTAGGAAAGCTATACTCTGCTTATCTACTAAAGAAGCTCCTGGATTGGATGGAATCATAAATCTTATTGGGATATGAACAAATAGGATTTAGGAGGAGTTTTTCAACATACAACCACTGCCTAGTTCTTTATCACCTGGCTGAGAAATATTCATCCTTTAAGGGGGGGTGTCTTTATGTGGCTTTTATTGACCTCAAGGGGGCCTTCAGTTCCATAAATTGCCCCAGATTATGGAAAAAACTTAATCAAACTACTATGGACAAAAGACTCCTAGGACTTTTTTAATGTTTATATATATAGGGGTCATTTCCTGCAGGAGCGCACAGGAGCGGAGCTTCGGCAGTAAAGAGCCCAGGGGGCGGGCACATGCAACAAGCCCCACCCTCTGCTCCCAGCAGCCCTCAGTCAGAGCAAGAAGCAGCCAGGTAAATTGCAGAGCTTCCCCCGGCCCCCTGGTCCAAGACAGTCCAGTGGCACCTTTAAGACCAAGTTTTCTTCAGGTACAAGCTCTCCCTCCTCTGCGAGGACAGATCTGCACATTTCCTCCCCCCAATTAGCTAGCAATCCAAAACAGTCCAGTGGAGCCTGAGCTCCGGTGATGTCAGGGGGTGTGGCATATGCAAATAAGTTATGCTAATGAGCTCCTGCACCTCTTTTTCTATGAAATGACCCCTCTGTGTGTGTGTGTGTGTGTGTACTATGTCGGTATGATGGAAATTTAACAAATCCATTTAATTTGGAAAAAGGAGTAGAACAGGGATACTTGTTGGCATCTTTTTTGTTTAATTTATATTTAAATGATGTAGCAACAATCTTTAATGACTGCTGCCATCCACCAAAATTAGCTGAAATTGGGGTGCGTATTCCGGGCAGAATTTGGACGTATATCCTTGGAAGCCAGAGCATAGCTTTATGCCTTTAAATGAGATTAAAACAGCTCTGTGCTGAACATGGTTTGTTAGCTGCTCTAAATCGAGATACCCACAAATCGACTTGTATGAAAGCCCTGCATGAGAAATTGATGACAGTTGGAATGTTGATTAATTATATTTTTGAGATGGCCAAATCCAAAGCATTTTCTCTGCTCAAAACCTACATATTGGTTACAGCAGTCTAATCCTGAGAGCCCACAGAGTTTGCTTACCCCTATCTTTTGGCCTTTCTTTCCCAAGATCTTTACTCCCCCCTCCCATATGTACTATCTTCCCATCCCACATTACTGTAGAGCTATTTTCTTTGCAAGACTGAATATTATACGTACAATGGTTTTTGCTGGGGAGATGTTTGAATAGACCCTATTCTGACAGAATCTGCCCTTGTGGCCTTAATTGGATAGATACATCGTTCCATGCCCTGCTTGAATGCAAGTTCTTTGAGAATAAAAGGGATCACTGTATTAAGCCTTTCATTAACCAAACATCCCCGTACACTCTGGAAACCCTGGGTCTTTTGCTCAGTGATAAGGATCCTAAGTTTACTCTAGCAACTCAATCCTTTTAGCTCTTGCATCATCATCATCATCATCATCATCAGAAGAAGAAGAAGAAGAAGAAGAAGAAAGTATTTCCAGCTGCTCAGGATCTGTGAATCAATGAGCTTCTAAGGGTATAAAAAGAAAGGAAAGGAAAGTGGGTAGGAAGGAGAGCAGGGAAAGGGAGCTGATAGGAAGAGGGTTAGAAGAAACTGGGGAGGGTTAAATGAGATGACCCCCCACAATTACTTGTGGGTCCCCCACTTGCAGCTTCTGTTTTTGGTATGTAGCTAGTTTATTTATTTATAGATTGCTTTTCAACTAAAAAAGTTCTCAGATTCAAACCTGTATTAACAAATCCAAGCACAAACTGAAGATTTCCCAAAGAGCCGAAGAAGGGTTTGGAAGGAATAAAATTTCCAAGATAAACAGCTAGACTGGAGTCCAGTAGCTCCTTAGAGACCAAGAAGTTTTTTGGTGTATGATCTTCAAGAATCAAAGCTCCCTTTATCAGACTCTCAAAAGTTCATACTCTGAAATCTTATTGGTCTCAAAGGTCTCTTTTAGGCACCAGGAAAAGTCCATCCTGATGGTTGGACCCTTGAGTGACTGATTTCCCCCTCACCTAGGGACTAGTTGTTTTGATTTTTAGGATTTTTCTTTTTACAATTTATTGTGCAATTGCGTGTGTGTTGCAGTTTTAAAAAGCTCTCTTTAAATGTTACTGCTGTGAATTGCTACTGTTGCTGTTTTACTGATTTTATAATTCCTAGCTTTTCAGTGTGATTTGCCTTGATGAGCACATATTAGGACAGAAAACAAATGTTTATAGCAAAATGAATAAATAAATGCATGCAAGTGCTGTCATCCTTTTATGAGGCAAGGAAATTAAAATAATTCCCAAGTCAGGATGGTAATGAAACATTTCTCTGGAGCCTTCTGGTCTGACAGGATCAATCATCCATATGTGCTGAAATCCCAGGAAGAGACTGCATAACTGTATGAAAATCTGATTGTTAGAGCAAATAGCCGTAATAGTAAATTGATCGAGTTGATTACGTACCTCTTTGAATCAGGAAACTCCCAGAATCTAGACAAAGAATAACAACAGAATGAATATCACAGCATCCATCAAACTACTGGTCTAGGCACAAGTTAACTGGGGAAAATGGTAACTTTCTTTTTGTTGAAACCCTTGGTCAAAATGTTTGTTTAAATATGTGACTAATGAATAGGGTTGGCATTCCCCACTTGAGGGTGGGAGATTGCCCAGTTTTGTGGGCTCCTGCCCATCGCAGGCCAGCTGGCTGGCGGGACAAAATCCCCCCAACAACAACGTCACACAATGTACCGATGTCAGGGTGACACTCTGGTTTTTGGGCAAAACTATTGTTTGAGAGCAATTTTAACAGAGTTTTCTCCAGAAACCAGAGCATCGCTCCTGATGTGCCTGTGTCACTTCCCAGTGACGCAAGCACAGTGTGCAACATCACTTCTGGCACATCAGAGGCAATGCTTCCAGCTCCTGGAACATCCCCCCATCCCCCCACCGGTGTCTCCAACGGGTTGTATGGCCTTGGTCTTGTAGGACCTGACATTTTGCCAGTAGCTGTGACTGGCATCCTCAGAGATATAACATAGAAAGATGGAGTACTCTCTGTGTCAAGGTGAGAAGTAAATTGGTAGACAGGTAATTTATATCTACTCAGGAAGGTGGGGTAGGGCTGAGCCATCTTTTTTTTAAGCCCCCAGAGGGGATTTTTTATTGCATTTTCTATAGATTACAAACTACAACGAAAATTAGGGAGGGAACATCTACAACTAGGGAGAAAGTAAATAAAACCACTAATAACTAAAACCCCAAGAATAGGAGATCATAACATCAGCTTAAAAAAATGTTAGTCTTAAATGCTAGTAATACATTGAACATAGTCAATTAAGCTACATTGATTATCTTTTGAACCATTTTTAACTGTTTAAAAAACACACCAAGAGCATCCTTTACAACTAATAGTTTAAGGCACCCTTCAGAGCTCTTCAGCCTTTACTTTGATTTATCTTTTCTAATCCTCAAGTAGTATTCTCATTTAGGGGTCGCCACCCCCTTTTCCGAAGCAGAGTCCTTGTTGGAAGACACAGAGTCCACTTCACCACTAGATTTGCTGTCATCTTCCTTAACGTCCTCAACTGGTTCTCCCAGTTGCAATCTCATGAACTCATGCACTTTAGAGACAGAGTCAATTTTTTCTTTTTGGTCCTGCAGTTTGAAAGTGATGCCTTCAGGTGTCAACCATCTCTAGGAAATGCTGTTTGTTTGTAAAAAAAAGGATTAAGTCTTTATACTTCTTCCTCTTCTTCCTTATTTCAAATGGAATGTTTTTTAGAATCCTGATGGTGTTGCCCCGATTTTCAGGGGTTTGCCTGTAGTTGCTTTGAGAACTAAGTCCCTCATGTGTCTCTTCGAGAATCTAACCACTATCTCTCGAGGCAGATTATTTTTCATGATGTAGATGGAGTAGGCCCTATAGACCACATCCATTTCGCTTATAAAATATTCCACTTTTAAATCTGTAACTGGAGCTAATGCATCACTCAAAAGTTGTTTTAGATTCTCATCTTTGGATTCAGGCACCCCTTGGAACCAGAGTACCAGGTTGGCTTTCTCCATTTGCAATTGTAGCAGTTGAGATTCCACCGAAGCTTGCTTCCTTTCTAGCATTTGCACCTTTTTCTTTACTTTTTTAGAACTGTCCATTTTCTTTACGTTCTCAGCTGTTTGCTCTGTCTTTTTTGTGGTTTCAGACAGTTGAAGCTGCTGAGTTGCAAAATTTTGGTTCAGAGTTGCCAGCTGTTGATTGATGTTGGTCATCTGATCCAGTAGAGGACTCAAGGAGTTCGCCAAGAGTTTAGAGTACTCAGTGGTCTCTTTCGGATGTGGACTCATGCTTCCTGGTGGTTTCACTTTTGCTTGCTTGTCCCTCTCTGTTTTTTTCCACGCCATTTTTAAGGATTGTTTACTTTTGTAAAAACTTGCTAAAGTCTCTGACGCTTATCCGCGCTCTGGTAAGTTATTTTATAATTCCTAGCTTTTCAGTGTGATTTGCCTTGATGAGCACATATTAGGACAGAAAACAAATGTTTATAGCAAAATGAATAAATAAATGCATACAAGTACTGTCATCCTTTTATGAGACAAGGAAATTAAAAGAATTCCCAAGTCAGGATGATAATGAAACATTGCTCTGGGGCCTTCTGGTCTGACAGGATCAATCATCCATATGTGCTGAAATCCCAGGAAGAGACTGCATAACTGTATGAAAATCTGATTGTTAGAGCAAATAGCCGTAATAGTAAATTGATCGAGTTGATTACGTACCTCTTTGAATCAGGAAACTCCCAGAATCTAGACAAAGAATAACAACAGAATGAATATCACAGAGTCCATCAAAGTAGTGCCCTAGGCAAAAGTTAACCGGAGAAAACGGTAACTTTGTTTTTGTTGAAACCCTTGGTCAAAATGATTGTTTAAACCTGTGTCCAACGAAGTGTAAGTCACTTCATAAAATTATTGAATATCGTGGCTTTGTAATAATTTATGCCATGGATTTTTCTGCCTGGATAGGAAAACTTCAGACATTATTACAATCGTATAACATTCAACAAACTGTGAATGCAGCCTGTGACTGTTCTGTACCCCTTGAAAATATTTTCTAGATAAGAGAATAGTCAATTATGCATTGAAAAGTTAGAAGCCTATGTATCAGAGTCTTCTTCCACATGGATGGAGGCATTCTCAGGGCAATGGAGCATCTCCAAGTCTCTGTGTTCCCCTGCCTTACCCCCTCTAACATCTGCCAGTTCCACTCCTCTTTCACTACTGGTGCTTCCAGCCCTGACTTTTTAAAAAATAGGCAGTACCAAAGATCAGTATCATGTTTGTTTCAACACTATACTGATATAGCAACGACCAATTATAAAAAGTTGCAAAAATCTCACTTGGGGCAAGGCACACCAGTGACAGCCATGAAGGGATAGGGAAGGAAAGCAGCACAGATGTTGATGGGTGGGTAGGCCTGAAAACCTGCACCTTCCCAGCCACACAGTTCTCAAGCCCATTCTGAGTGTGATCTTTATGGAATAATTTACCACCGCAGTTTTGGGTAAAATTGTGAGGCAGACGAAAACCTTCACAGTGGAAAATGCACAATTGCACAATGTTGTGTGAAAAAAAGGCAAAAGTATTGTTTGGGAGGCAAGGTGAAACAAAAGGTCCCTGGGGAAGCAGCCAGAGAGAGTGTCTTTTCTGTAGTTGCGTCCTATTTATCGAACTCCCTCCTGAAAAATATTCTCTTGACATCGTACTTATCTTTTAGGCACCAGAAAAAGTCTATCCTGATTGCCTAGCCCTTGAGTGATTGATTTTCTTTTCACCTAGGGACTATTTGGTTTTAGGATGTCCCCCCCCCCAATTTCACAATGCAAGTGTGCTGCGGTTTAAAAAGTACTTTTGAAATGTTACTATGGGTGCTGTTTTACTGATTTTAGAAGTCTTAGTTTGCCATTATGATTTGCCTTGATGAACACATATAAGGATAGAAAGCAAATGTTTATAGAAAAATGAATCAATAAATTCATATAAATACTGTAATCCTTTTATGAGATAAGGAAATTATAACAATACCCATGTCATGTGTGTGATGAAGCCATGCTCTAGAGCTTTCTGGTCTGAAATGATCGATCTGACTCATGTATGCTACTCCAGGAACGGGCATCATAGCTGTAAGAAAATCTAATTATTAGACTCATTTTCTTAACATCTAAAGAGTAAATAGCTGTAATAGGAAATTGGTCAAATTGATTACATACCTCTGTGAGCCTGGACATTCTCATTATCTAGACAAAGAATAACAACAGAATGAATATCACAGCATCCATCAAACTACTGGTCTAGGCACAAGTTAACTGGGGAAAATGGTAACTTTTTTTTTGTTGAAACCCTTGGTCAAAATGTTTGTTTAAATATGTGACTAATGAATAGGGTTGGCATTCCCCACTTGAGGGTGGGAGATTGCCCAGTTTTGTGGGCTCCTGCCCATCGCAGGCCAGCTGGCTGGCGGGACAAAATCCCCCCAACAACAACGTCACACAATGTACCGATGTCAGGGTGACACTCTGGTTTTTGGGCAAAACTATTGTTTGAGAGCAATTTTAACAGAGTTTTCTCCAGAAACCAGAGCATCGCTCCTGATGTGCCTGTGTCACTTCCCAGTGACGCAAGCACAGTGTGCAACATCACTTCTGGCACATCAGAGGCAATGCTTCCAGCTCCTGGAACATCCCCCCATCCCCCCACCGGTGTCTCCAACGGGTTGTATGGCCTTGGTCTTGTAGGACCTGACATTTCGCCAGTAGCTGTGACTGGCATCCTCAGAGATATAACATAGAAAGATGGAGTACTCTCTGTGTCAAGGTGAGAAGTAAATTGGTAGACAGGTAATTTATATCTACTCAGGAAGGTGGGGTAGGGCTGAGCCATCTTTTTTTTAAGCCCCCAGAGGGGATTTTTTATTGCATTTTCTATAGATTACAAACTACAACGAAAATTAGGGAGGGAACATCTACAACTAGGGAGAAAGTAAATAAAACCACTAATAACTAAAACCCCAAGAATAGGAGATCATAACATCAGCTTAAAAAAATGTTAGTCTTAAATGCTAGTAATACATTGAACATAGTCAATTAAGCTACATTGATTATCTTTTGAACCATTTTTAACTGTTTAAAAAACACACCAAGAGCATCCTTTACAACTAATAGTTTAAGGCACCCTTCAGAGCTCTTCAGCCTTTACTTTGATTTATCTTTTCTAATCCTCAAGTAGTATTCTCATTTAGGGGTCGCCACCCCCTTTTCCGAAGCAGAGTCCTTGTTGGAAGACACAGAGTCCACTTCACCACTAGATTTGCTGTCATCTTCCTTAACGTCCTCAACTGGTTCTCCCAGTTGCAATCTCATGAACTCATGCACTTTAGAGACAGAGTCAATTTTTTCTTTTTGGTCCTGCAGTTTGAAAGTGATGCCTTCAGGTGTCAACCATCTCTAGGAAATGCTGTTTGTTTGTAAAAAAAAGGATTAAGTCTTTATACTTCTTCCTCTTCTTCCTTATTTCAAATGGAATGTTTTTTAGAATCCTGATGGTGTTGCCCCGATTTTCAGGGGTTTGCCTGTAGTTGCTTTGAGAACTAAGTCCCTCATGTGTCTCTTCGAGAATCTAACCACTATCTCTCGAGGCAGATTATTTTTCATGATGTAGATGGAGTAGGCCCTATAGACCACATCCATTTCGCTTATAAGATATTCCACTTTTAAATCTGTAACTGGAGCTAATGCATCACTCAAAAGTTGTTTTAGATTCTCATCTTTGGATTCAGGCACCCCTTGGAACCAGAGTACCAGGTTGGCTTTCTCCATTTGCAATTGTAGCAGTTGAGATTCCACCGAAGCTTGCTTCCTTTCTAGCATTTGCACCTTTTTCTTTACTTTTTTAGAACTGTCCATTTTCTTTACGTTCTCAGCTGTTTGCTCTGTCTTTTTTGTGGTTTCAGACAGTTGAAGCTGCTGAGTTGCAAAATTTTGGTTCAGAGTTGCCAGCTGTTGATTGATGTTGGTCATCTGATCCAGTAGAGGACTCAAGGAGTTCGCCAAGAGTTTAGAGTACTCAGTGGTCTCTTTCGGATGTGGACTCATGCTTCCTGGTGGTTTCACTTTTGCTTGCTTGTCCCTCTCTGTTTTTTTCCACGCCATTTTTAAGGATTGTTTACTTTTGTAAAAACTTGCTAAAGTCTCTGACGCTTATCCGCGCTCTGGTAAGTTTCATAAAACAGATTTTAACACTTTTACATCCGCTCCCCCCTTGTTCAATTGCTTGTAAGTCTCTGCATGTAGGAGTGGCCCCTCCCCCACTCGCTTTTCTTGCCATTCCCAGGGGGGTGCTTTCTTTTTAAATTGTCAGTGTTTCACTTTCACTCGACTCACTGTTCATTGTTGGTTCTTGGACCTTGCTCAGCATACGTTTTAAACGCTCGATCTCCAACGCTTGTCCCAGTCAGCGGCTCTGATTCCATACGGATGCATAGCGGCAGGACCTTTGGGGTGGAGGAGCGCCTCAATTCCCCAGCAATGCGCTGGTGAAGAGGCCACCCCTCAAAAGCCCCATGACTAGGAGCCATAAACCAGAAGTCGGCTGAGTCATTATCTTGTAGGAGTTCCTCAGGCTGTGCACATGCTAATGGAGGAGCTTTCCTGAGGAGGTTCTTTTGTATATGGATTGTTTCCTGAGGAGGTTTCCTGTTTCCTGAGGAAGTTCTTTTGCAAGTGGATTCTAATCTTATCTGTAGTGCTATTGTCAGATGTAGAGCCTTTTGTTTTTTCAGGACAGGAAACCATGCCCTATTTATTCTTAAACTCTCTTATTTCCTGTTGAAATTGTATTTATGCTTATGAATTTCAATGGCTTCCCTGTGTAATCTGACATGGTAATTGGATGCGTTGTCCAGCCTTTCAGTGTCTTGGAACAAAATACTGTGTCCTGTTTGAGTTAGGCTATGTTCAGCCACTGCTGATCTTTCAGGTTGACTAAGTCTGCAGTGTCTTTCGTGTTCTTTTATTCTTGTCTGAATGCTATGCTGTGTGGTCCCAATGTAAACTTGTCCACAACTGCATGGTATGGGGTATATTCCTGCAGAAGTAAGGAGTGCTCTTCTGTCTTTTTTGCTGATTTTTCTTCTCACCTTGATGCAGAGAGTACTCCATCTTTCTGTGTTATATCTCTGAGAATGCCAGTCACAGCTACTGGTGAAATGTCAGGTCCTACAATGCCAAGACCATGGCCATACAACCTGTAAAATCTACGACAGCTAATGAACTCTGGCCCTGAAAGCCTTTGACAATTCTTGTTAGGTTGAAATAGCAAAAGAGGCTCCATGTAAGTTTATTCTTAGTAGCACACACAGAGACTAGAGGCGCTCCATTGTGTTGTAAGCCTTGTGCACTCTGCTAACTGTAGGGACCCACAAATCCCATCAAAACCACCCTGGAAAAGGGCCATACACCCCAAAGGGAATGCTGGAGAGGAAGAGGCCTGCTCCTGCCCTGCCTCCAAAAGGTTTCTCTCCATCATGCCTTGGGCAGGGCTTGGGCAGGCTGGGTGCCACCTCCCTTGCCTTGCAATGGGACTTAGGAGGGCTGGGCAATGTTTCCCTCACCTCAGATGGAGATAGGCTAAGCCCAGGGCTACCTTCCTCACCTTGTCTTGCACAGGATTTGAGCAGACTGGGCATCACCTCCTTAACCTCACCTCATGCAGGTCTTGGGCAGGCTGAGCACTACTTCCCTTACCTCATGCGGGGCTTGGGTGCCATCTCCTCCATACCATGTGGAGCTTGGGTGGGCCAGATGCAGTCCTTCTGCCATAGGATAGGCCTGGCCCGAGGGGAGGGGTGAGGGGGGAGGCCCACCAGGAGGCCTCCTGATGCCTATAATGGCCAATCCACCCCTGGGATAAGGAACTGTGGCCAGGCCTGGCAACAGCTATGCTGCCACACAAGTTCACACTTTGCTACCACAAGTTCATACAACTTGCATTATTTCACTTTTTTGACACGGATGTAGTGTTTAAAAGAAAAAAAATATTTATTTGTTACACTGTTATCCTGCCCTTCATCTAACGAGCTCGGGGCAGTGTACATGGTTTACCCCCTTTTTTATTTTAAGACTGGGACACCCAAGTTCAATTCCTACAAAAATTATATATTTAATTGGATTTCTAGCCCTCCCTCCCCTGCAAAGAAGGGCTTAGGGTGGGTTACAATAATAAATCTAAACAATACATTTAGAACAGTTTAGGCATAACTACACAAGATTAAAACCTATACTGAGCATCAACTAAAACTGTTTCCAAGATGGCGGTCAGGCACAAATTGACACGTGCTCCCTGTAAATGTGTCTGTATGTGTGCCCATGGATGATAATCAGTATTGGGCAAGTGGACAAGAAAGCAGCAAAGCAGATAGTGCCTAATAATCAGTGCAATAAGCAGCGCAAGCAGGGTAGGTAAGGCTGATGTGACTGGACATCTGCCACCTCAACCATATGCCTGGTGGAACATCTCCATTTTACAGGCCCCGTGGAGCTGTAATGTCCTGCAGGGCTCTGATCTCATGTGGGAGAGTATTCCACCAGGCAGGTGCCAGAGCTGAAAAGGCTCTGGCTCTGACTGAGGCTAAGCAGATGTCCTTTGGGCCATGGACCACTGGAAGATGTTGATCTACAGAGCTTAAGGCTCTTTGAGGGACATATGGGGAGAGATGGTCCTGCAGGTGTGTTGAGGACCAAATGAGATGACACTACATCCTCAGTTCTGTCACAGGGACTTGGTACCTTTTTAGAACCTTTTAAAAAACTTTTAAGGATGCCATTGGGGCCCAGTCCTGCTGGGGACTGTGATATGGGAGAATGAGGGATCCTGCAAAAATAAAATAAAATAAAAAATGATGGGTTGCATGCTTTGTTCTTTGTTCAGTCATTTCAGCTCTTATAAACAAGGTGGGGGTGAGACGGGAGCCTTTTGTTCTGCCCATGCTGCCCCCCAAAACCCCAGCAGGATTGGGCCCCAATAGCATTTTTAAAAGTGAAAAAGGTCTAAAATGGCACCACATCCCTGTGACAGGCTCAGGGATGTGGTATCCTCTCATTTTCCCCTCAGTAAACTTTGTGGGAGTTGAACTTGCACCTCCCAGTCTTAAATCAAGCCCCCTAATCACTATACAACACTATTTTACCAAGCAATCTGTCAGGGTAAACAACAAAAAGAAAAGGGTGCTGTGAAAAAGGCAAACTCTATGTTGGGGATTATTAGGAAAGGGATTGAAAATAAAACGGTCGATATTATAATGCTCCCTGTATAGATCAATGGTGCGTGCAACCTCATATGAAATATTGTGTGCAGTTCTGGTCACCATATCTCAAAAAGGATACTGCAGAGATGGGAAAAGGCAACAAAGAAAATTAGGGGGATGGAGCACCTTTCCTATGAGGAACGGATGAAGAGTCTGGGATTTTTCACTTTAAAAAAGAGATGACTAAGGGGGGGACATGGAGACAGCTGACAAAGAGAACTTTTTCTCCCTCTCCCAAAACACTAGAACTTCAGGGCAATCCAGTGAAATTGATGGGAGTAGATTTGGGATGTACAAAAGGAAATACATCTTTACCCAGCAAGTGATTAAAATGTGAAATTCACTGCCAAAAGATGTAGTGATGGCCACAGGCATAGACAGTTTTAAAAGGGGATCAGACAGATTCACAGAAGATAGATCTATCAGTGGCTACTGGCCATGGTGAGTAAAGGGAATTTCCACATTCAGAGGCAGACAACTGTTGAATCCCAGTGCCAGGAGGCAATGTCAGCAGAAGGGCTTGGCCTCTATGCCCTGTTGCTGGACCTCCAGAAGACATTGTCGGCCACTGTGTGAAATTGGATTCTGGACTAGATGATCTAGCAGAGCTCTTCTTATGTTCTTATGAGGCAGGCTGTTAGTCTGTCTAGGTCAGTATCTACAACTCTGACTGGTACCCTGTTTTCCCCGAAAATAAGACCTACCCAAAAAATAAGCCCTAGCAGGATTTCTATGCATTTGTGGTATAAGCCCTAGTGTGTCTTCTTGAGAAAAAATAAATATAAGGCAGTGTCTTATTTTCGGGGAAACACGGTAGTAGTTCTGCAGGTTTTTTGGAAGAGTACTGTCTCATCACTTACTACCTACCCTTTTAAACTCAAGATGCCGGCTGTTAAACCTGGAATAGGGTTGCCAGCCCCCATGTGGGAGCAGGGGATCCCCCGGTTTTGCAGGATCCTGCCCACTGCTGGCCATCACATTGGAGACATCATGCGTGGTAATGTCGCTCCACCCCCCACTCCCAGAGAGCTCCATTCTACTCCCTGCCGGCGAGGAGGTAAGACCTGGCAGCCCTAACCTGGGACCTTCTGCATATAAATCAGATGTTCTGCCACTGACCCCGTGGTTCCACTCTCATGTAATAATAAGACAGTGCACTAATTATGCAATTGTTAGATTTTATGGAGGATCCAGATGTCATAGACCACTAGTTGTCATCAAAGGGAAAGTGCCGTTTCTCTTCAACCGGTGTGTAATACTTATTTCCCGTGAGGACTTTTACCTCCCCTGCCTTCCAACGATGCTATTTATTCTAGTGCTATTACCTGAGCAACATTCTGGGGGAAAATGGGTACATCAGATTGCTTCCATTTGGCATTGAGACATTTTGTGCTAATTTACCTTCTTCTGTGGGTTTATCTGCCACCTCTTCAGCATCAGGCTTGGTAACCACCATGGAGGTGAGGGGGGTAACAAAGCTGAACTTCAAGGAGAGTCCCAAAGCTTGGTCTTTCAGGCTTTTCTGCTGCTCCCCCTCAGCTGAAACACTAAAGTAGAGAAGAGGAAAAACAAGCACCATTTACTGCTGCAGTGGTTCAGAGAAACAAAATGTGCTGAATGTACTGCTTCGTGATTCCAGATTCCATGACACGTGTTTCTACCTCCCCTCATGGAAACAAACTGTAAAACTTGAAAGAGCATGTTAAGGAAGTCAATACATCAAAAGCTTCAGGGAGGATTGTGTGATTTTTTTTTAATTATATGCACAACCTGTCTTCTGAAACTATATGAAGGAATAGAGGGAATGCTTATTAAATTTGCAGATGATACTAAATTGGGAGGGGTAGCAAATACGGTAGAAGACAGGATACAGGATGATCTTGACAGGCTCGAAGATTAGGTGGATTCAGCGGGAATAAATGTAAAGTTCTGCATTTAGGTAGGAAAAATCAAATGCATAATTATAGTATGGGGGAGACTTGTCTTGGCAGCAGTATGTGCGAAAAGGATCTAGGGGTCTTAGTTGACCCTACACTGAACATGAGTCAGCAGTGGGATGTGGTAGCTAAAAAGGCAAATGTGATTTTAGGCCCTATCAACAGAAGTATAGAATCCAGATCACGCAAAGTGATGGTACTGCTCTACTCTGCTCTGGTTAGACCTCACCTAGAGTATTGTATTCAGTTTTGGGCACCACAATTTAAGAAGGATGTAGACAAGCTGGAACGTGTCCAGAGGAGGGCAACGAAGAAGGTGAGGGGTCTGGAGACCAAATCCTATGAGGAAAGGTTAAAGGAGCTGGGTATGTTTAGCCTGGAGAGGAGATGACTGAAAGGTGATATGATAATCATCTTCAAGTATTTTATTTATTTATTTATTTTATTTTTACCCCGCCCTCCCCGCCGAGGCAGGGGCTGTCATATAGAGGATGGTGTGGAGTTGTTTTCTTTTGCCCCAGAAGGTCAGACCAGAACCAACAGGCTGAAATCAGAAGAGTTTTTGGCTAAACATTAGGAAGAACTTCATGACAGAGTGGTTCCTCCGTGGAACAGGCTTCCTTGGGAGGTGGTGGGCTCTCCTTCTTTGGAGGTTTTCAAGGCTAGATGGCCATCTGACAGCAATGCTGATTGTGTGAACTTAGGCAGATCATGAGAGGGAGGGCTGGAAGGGTTGCATCAGTGCTTAGTTCTTGTGCCCCTTTCTTACACATCCAGGGAAATGCTGATAGTCACTTTGGGGTCAGGAAGCAATTTTTCTCCAGGCCAGTTTGGCTGGAGATCCTGGAGGTTTTTTTGTCATCTTCTGGGCGTGGAACAGTAGTCACTGGGGGCATGGGGGGAGGTATTTGTGATTTTCCTGCATTGTGCAGGGAGTTGGACTAGATGACCCTGGAGGTCCCTTTCAACGCTATGATTCTATGATTCCATGAATGAAATGAGACAGTATTAACACTTAGTTTAAAAGGAAAGATAACTAGTATGCTTTTAAGAAGCACACAGTATAGTTCAGTCTGTTTCAAGGTTATATAACATATCAATTTTTAACTCTAAAAAGTATAAGGCGGTCAGGAAAAAAATATTATGTGTGGGTTCATAAATGATATTGTCATAAGTAACTAGGGAGATAACAGAGTTTCCAAAGGGCAGATTATGCCCAGTCTACTGGCAGCATCCAAACCGCAAACCTGGGATTTTTCATTTTTTTTTTACTATTGGCAGCTGAATATTGTTATATTGAGAAAACATTATAACAATATGTATGATAGGTTTTCCAAATTCCCAGCTTTCATATATTTTTTTTAAAGTATCAAGCCCCATGTGTTGCAGAGATAAGCCATACAAAAAGTGCTAGTGACATACTTTTAAAATAATTAACACAGACATTCAGACAACCTGTAATACATATTTGTATAACATTACTCAGTTGCCAATATAAAAAACAAAAACAAAAAAGCGTGTGGGAAGGGGAGGAAATGACCACAGGGAAAATGGCTGCTGTGTGGATGGGACGGGATAATCTGAATATCTTTTGAAGAGATAATAATATTTTGAAGAGAACTTTGTTTTAAATCTTGTTTGTATAGCAATACTTTCTAACTTGCCTTGTGAAAAGTTTTTGAACCAGCCCATAGAATGTCAGCATAACACTAGTATTTTACATTGATGGCTCCATCCTCTGCTACACAACACATTATACAGCCCTGTACTATTGTTAGAGGAATGAAGCAACTATGTTTGGTGTTTACTAAGGCAAAAGTAATGAAACATGTAAAGCTAGGACATCTGGGGAAGACTAATTATTCCACATGCAAGGAACTTATGGTGTGGGGATTCTTGAAACATTTAGAAAGAACACTGTTACATCTGAGGATTGTACTATGTGCCTTCTGCATGTTTGGGATCACCTGCAAGTCTCTCTTTATTATATTGAATGAAGTCTATTGCATTTTATTATTAGGTTACAATTTAGCAAATTCTTCATTGTAGTAGCTTACGATTTTTCTAGCAGTTGCTGAATAGTTAAGTAGCCCCATAATCTCTCGATGAAGTTTCCAAAAATGTACTTCTGATTCCGAAATATTTCTTCTTTTTCTGTTACATTTACTTGCTCTTTAAGAGTCAAGTTGTTCATTTGCTAGGAAAGGGGGAAAGGTTTTAGTTATTTGAAATTTGAATAAAAGGAGTGTATATTCTTTCACATATTTTTATACACAAACAAATCTTAAAGGAAATGACACTTTCAAATGACTTGCCATATGCCTCATTTATTTTCTGGATTCACAACAGAACCAACCAAAAGGTTTATCATACACTCCAGTGAAAAGTGGAGTTCAGCAAACCGTCAATATTTATCTTATAAATTTTTCAGATGATACTAGGCAAGTAAGTGCAGGGATGAAGTAACCAGAGCACTGACTCAACTAAACTAGACCTCACCTATGCAATGAAAGCAGCAACAACAGGTTTTTACACAGATGCCAATAGAAATTCCATTTGAAATCAAGCATTAAGGCAATAAAGCAGCTGTAAAAAATGCATTCCAGGGAGTTATCCTGAGCCACACTTGTGGTCCTTAACCACGAGATCTTTCAGGTCTAAAAAGGAGCCAGTTTGGTGTAGTGATTAAGTGTATGGACTCTAATCTGGGAGAACTGGGTTTGATTCCCCACTCCTCCACTTGTACCTGCTGGATGACCTTGGGCAAGCCATAGTTCTGGCACAGCTTTTCTTGAAAAAGAGCAGTTTCTGTCAGAGCTCTCTCAGCCCCACCTACCTCACAAGGTGTCTGTTGTGGGGAGGGGAAGGGAAGGAGTTTGTAAGCCGCTCTGAGACACTTTTGGGTAGTGAAGGGCAGGGTATAAATCTAATCTCCTCCTCCTCCTCCTCCTCCTCCTCTTCCTCCTCCTCCTCCTCTTCTTCTTCTAAAATATTCTTATACTCCTAACTAGACAGCCCCATGCAAGCTATTTCCAGGGTGGCCTCTGACAGGGGCACTCTGCTCTTTCAGCTTCAGCCTCCAAAGTTCAGCTCTGGGAACTGTTTTATGAAACCATCCTGCAGTCTGGCTCTCTAATTATTTTTTCTCCCTATCCATCTCCTTATTATATGGAAAGTTGGACTGGAGGCCAGAAACCTTCTGTCCACTAACAAATCTTTAGATCACATTCCTAAACGTTTCCTGAACTTCCTGGCCTTTCTGATAGGAAGAAGAAGAAGATATTGGATTTATACCCCATTCTTCACTACGTGAAGGAGTCTCAGAGTGGTTTACAATCTCCTTTCCTTCCTCTCCCCACAACAGACACCCTGTGAGGTAGGTGGGGCTGAGAGAGCTCTCTGAGGGTGCCTCTTGAGAGAGCAGCTCTGAAAGAACTCATGACTGACCCAAGGTTACACCAGCAGCTGCATGTGGAGAAGTGGGGAATCAAACCCAGTTGTCCCAGATTAGAGTCTGCACTCTTAACCACTACACCAAACTGGCTCTCAGGAGGTTAGTAGGCATTGTTCTGATGCTACCCTGGCCTTTTTGAAAGAACTTCCAAGGAGAAACTGACTAAGCCTGTAAACATTAGGATGAAAGTTACTTGCAAAACAAACAAACAAACAGCTTCACACATCCCAACTACAACATTTGTGGAAGCAATCAAGCACTGTAAACTTACATTCTAAGCATCTGCCACACCAGGTGGATTTCTTGTGTGGAAAATGTTTAGAATGTCTGTAGACTGCAAAATATTTTGCTGTTTGTGATCTTCATGTAAATAATTACTGAAAAAATGAAAAAGAACACAGAAGCTAATTAATGTTAAGGGGAGAAATTGTTCTTCTCCGGCATTTCAGACCACACCTGTTCTCCAACTGATTTTTCAGAAAACAACCCATTGCAATAGTTTCCCTTTTAACAGAATCGTGAATCTAAGTTTTCAAAATCTTCTATAACACTTCATATGTTTGAAACAGACTTTGTAACAAAGTTCACATGCTAGTGGAGTGTCATTAGCACACACGATTTTATTAGTACATATTTATACAAAATTCCTAAGAATTTTTAAAAATCTTCAAAAGAGAAGCAGAATTATTTGTTATTTTTAAAAGCCTAATCCAAATCAGTTGAAATAATAGTCATTCAACAATTGGCAGCACTTCATGCAAAAGAAGCCATATTTCTTAAATACTTACTGTTTGAGCTTTAATTTCTACAGGGAAAAAATCAAGTTCATTGCCAATCTTCCCAGCTACTACAATCTCGGAGCCATCAAAGAGTAATTTGAAGTTCTTCTGAGTGATTTCCTGTACCCCGTTGTCAAGATAGTTCATTTCAATCTCTTTCATGATGGGAGTAGCTACCTCACGATAAAAGTTCTTCAATAAAACAGAGAGAAGAGGTTATTGTGGCATTAAATCTAACTTACCAGTCATGCTAAACAACTATAAGTAGACCTTAATATATCCCATAGAGTTTACCCTGAGACATGAATTGCTACACATATGACCCTACCTGGAGTTGGAGGGCTGCGTCTGCATCCTCATATATACGCCGAGCAATTCCTCCATTGTCTAATGCCATCTTCTCCAGGAATCTGTAGCTGACATCAAAGCCAAAGCCAAGACAGTAGAGGAAGTACTTCGCATCATTAGTCAGCTTTATGTTTCCTTGAATGGTATGGACATCTGTAACACCTATCAAACAGAAAAGGCAAACATGCTCATGTTGTTGGGTACATTAACTATTGGATTTAATTTGCTGGATTTTTGAATGACTAAGGAGAAGATCACAGATAATACAAATATTAATGAGAGTACAAACACTCGCTGAAAATGTGTTACATTTAGATTGCGCAAATCTTGATTTTTTGTTTGTTTTTTTTATTTGCAGTCAGCCTTTTGCACGGAGACTCAAAGTGAATAACACAGTGTAAGTCAATATGATCAACAGGATGGGACATCCAATAAACAATGCAACTGGGTTTAGATTGCAGAAATCTGAAAATAGGCAGAAATTGGAAACAGAGCTGGAACAAGGCGTAAGCATTTAAACATGACAGATTAAACAATGAAGAAATTATACAGGAGGAGCATACTTATTGCAACAGACAGTATCTACAATAGATATTAGTACAGTCCAGTGTCCCTATCCCTTTACCAAAATATCTTTCTGAACCATTTCAAAGGGTTAGCCATAACATAGAGCCAGGGGTGAGGCTGGAACCAAGACTTTCTCGATCAGAGACACAGCCTTTTATAATCTGACATCTCACGAATTGAGTTTTGCAGAATTTGGTGGGTCAGGCACAGCAGAGCAGAATCTTTTTTTTAATTTAATATAAACGTTTTTATTAGTTTCATAGAAAGATACTACAGAAAGGAAAAAGAGAAGAATAACAAACAGAATAGAAATATCTATTCTATGGATATTATACTTGTACATCCACTGTAGTTATAATGTAATTATAGCATCTAAGTCTTCTACGCTGTGTCTGTAATGTTCTTATTGAGATTCAAAATTTAAGTTCTCCAAGATAATTTTGCATCCAATTAAAAAATCTCACCCATTTTGTTTCAAATCTCCCTTCTTGTTTTTCATGTAATTGTAAAGTTAATTTGTCCATTTCTGCTGCATCTAAAAGCCGAAAAATTAGTTCTTCCTTTGTGTGTGCCTCTTCTTTTTTCCATTGTTTTGCATATAAAATTCTAGCTGTGGTTACAACTTGTATAATCATATATACATCTTGTATGTTAAAATTTTGCGGGACAATGTTTAATAAAAACAATTCTGGTATAAATGGTACATTTGTGTCAAGTATTTTTGTAGTTTCTCATGTATCCATATCCAATATTTCTTAACAACACCACATGTCCACCACATATGGTAAAAAGAGCCAGTTTTTCGGTACATTTCCAACAAACGTTTGACATATTTGGATACCATTTAGCTAAGTTTTCAGGTGTCATGTACCATCTATAAAACATTATATATATATATTTATAAAGCTTTGGTGAGCTTTATATTAACTTTCCATACCTTTTCCCATTGTTCTAATTGTATTTTATGACCTATATTTTGTGCCCATTTAAACATTGCTTCTTTTACCACCTCATCTTGCATTTTCGTTTCTAATAACAACTTATAAAATAGTTTTATATGTTTCCCTTCAACACACCACAGAATTTTGTCTATTTCTACAGGTACATCACAGAATCCCATAGTTTGATTTGGGAGCTCTCGGGTACGGTGGTACCCGAGTAGACCCCTCATCGCTCCATAGCAGGGATCAGGAAGGGAGCACTCATGGGCAGCCATTGAGCGTGGAGGCGCGATACACCAACTTTCAGAGCTATACCCCAAGTAGACAATCTCAGCTATCAACTTTAATCTACCTGCTGTGAGTAACTGGATAGCAGAGCAGAATCTGAACTGGTGAAAGCCAGCAGATTCAGTGATGAGGTTAATGGCCCTCTACTGACTTTTAAGAAATAAATTTGAATGCAGATTTACTGTTTTGACCAATAAAATGGTGCTTCCTTGGTCATTTTAGGTGATTTTGGACATATGACAAAAATATGAACTATTTTTGCATCTCCAGTGCACTTTACATCTCACAGATCTTTGGAAGGCATTCTTTGGATGCTCATTAGAGTCTACAAAAGTCTGGAAGGCATTCTTTGGATGCTCATTAGAGGCTACATTAATCCCCATTATTTTGCTCTGCTAGCTACTGACCCCTTCCCCCAAAACGGTGCTTGTCACAGTGGCAAGATATTTAGCTGTTCCTTTACCATTGCCTTCAACCCAAATTAGCTCATAAACCCCAGTTCAATTTGATTTTCTCTTGTTTTCCCTTTTTCAGGTGTCTCTATTGTGAACAATCTACAAGCTGAAGAGAGAACTTCCGGTTGTCTTGTCATGTGGTACAACATATTCCAAACATCTAGAATTGTATCCAAGAATATAAAACTGATGCTGATAGGCTACATTCCATCTATTTGGAATGTAAGAAAAAACAGACTTAGAGCAGCTTCAGGTACAAAAGGGCTGGCACTGTCATAGTCAGCTTTCCCCACAAGCAAGCAAAGGAAATAATTTACTTTGAAGGCCCAAACTAGCATAGGGTAATTTAATTTGACCCCAAGAACAGACCCACATGCACAAAAGAGGATTTCTCCCCCAAACTGTACCTCCACCTCCAGCCCAAGGACAACAGGATCAGGAAAAATATGATTTAATCTCCCCACCCCCACTCTCCACTCTCTTCTTCCCCTCTCTTCCCTCACTCCAGCCTAAAAGCCTCTAAAAATACCATCCCACACTACCCATTCCTACTTTATGTTGCCTGCCAGAGGATTCTTTTTAATGGCATTGTGCCAGTAGTGCAATGGCACTTCTGGTGAATACTGGAAGTGACATCACGTTGCCAGCATGACGACAAGGCGATGCTCTAGGATTGGGGCAAAACTTCATGGTTTTACCAGGAAGTTTTGCCCAAATCCTAGAGTGTCAACTTGTTTTCATGACAGCATTGTAACATCACTTCCAGTATTTGCTAGAAGTGATGTTGCTTCCCTACGGTGGTGCCATTTCCCCTGTTCCTGTGGTCTCCACCATCCCAGTGGCAACCCTAATCCCATAGCATCATGCTGCTCCAACTTCCCTATTTTTATCTCCTCCTCAGCATTGGAATCTCACAGCCCTCCTCCTCCCTGGGCACTTCTGCAGCCTAGCAACTTTCCCTCACTCCCATCCTCTGCAACCTCCTATGTAGCCCCCTGGATTCAGTCCCACTCCCAGATGTTTTCTCGGTGCCTACATTCCTTGTGTGTTTCTGTCCTCCCTTATCTCAGCAGCTCCTTCCTCTTGTTCTTGCCAGGACCTACCACACTCCCCTCCCGAGGTTGGGTTCCCCAAAAGAGAATTAGAAGAGGGTGGAACTTTACTGTAAAATAAGGGAACAATCACATTGGGATTAAGATCACCATTATTACATTTTTGAACTGCCATTGATTAATGGATGTCTTTACTTTCCTTCCTTGATCTATTCACTTATTAATCAATAAAGTTTACTGGGCTGGACTTGGATTCAGCAGCAGATTCAGTCAAAGGAGCTCTTGCTTAGCTCCAGACAATGCTGCCAAGATGCCAGACTCAGGGCTTCCAGCCCCCTGCCTTGTAGGGTCAGATCATGGACTATCCATCCTCCAGGTTGTCCCCCTACCCACCCACCCGGCAGGAGTGACAGAGATGGCAGGCCTAGAGATGTAAAATTTCTGGTTTCGGGGGGAAACGGAAATTTTCGGAAAAATTGAAAAAAATGCTACATTAGCATTTCTTTTGTCTTTTCTAGATTGAAAGTCATTCTGTTACTTTAGGAACATAAAATATGACTATGGACATTTTTATTTGGCATGAAATTATCACAACTAGCATATTAAAAACATAGTGTATCTAAACAATTATTACAAACAGAATACCCACCCACATGCAAAAACAAAACTGAAACCCTTTTCTTTTCTTCTGACAATAGCACCTCCTAAAGGAAGAAATGCATCTTGTTCTTGCATTGGAGAGTTCAGTTTGTAACCTAGGACTTGCTTGTCCTCAGTGCACAGAAGTTAGATCAATCTGATACCATATATGTATATTTTAGAAATGATTTGGAAAATATTTGAACACCTTGTCTTAAAATATTTTATTCATCATGTTAAAATAAAACGTTCCATAATCATTTTTTCCCCTTTTCTTTTCTTTTTTCAATTTTTCCAATTTTTCAGAAAAAAACAAAAAATCTTCAGGAAAAAACCCCAGTTTTTTTCCGAATTTTCCCGTTTTTTTCCGGGGCCTTCACATCTCTAGGCAGGCCTGCGAGGAAGCAACTCAGCAACAACAAAGCACCAGGCTGGCAGCCTGTGTTCCACCGACCGAGCCAGATCACTTCCTAAATGCATACAATGCTTCACAGAATCAGGGCTCAGTCAAGCCTTGGCCAAGTCAAGGCCAGGAAGAGGTTCTCCGGGATATTTAGGCCCTGGGCTAAACAGAGAGCCTTGCTGGTGCAACTAGTTCATAAGGACAGCATGCTTCTGTGCTAGCTGGGAGCACCCAGCTACTGAGACTGCAACTAACCTCAGTGCTTTTTAATATGTGGTCTCCAGCTAGTAACCTTTTCCATGTTCTTTTATTGGCTTAGCTTGCTGTATCCAAAAGTGTCCTGCATTTACTCTTTGAGCTATGCCCTGTAGTGATAAAGCTGTTTAGCTAAGAAGTGTTGCATGGCTTCCATACCCATGTCCAAGACTGCTCACCAGACACTACTATAAACCCTGGGCATCATACATCAGGACATACTGGGAATGAGGACAATTAAGGGGGGGGAGCCAGGGGAGTGGCAGGCTATCAAAGGAGAATTCCAACATCCCAAAGACACTTTTCTGTCCGTTTTCTAGTAGGGCTGCGTGCCAGCAAGGGGATCTCACTGGAGGGACAGGGAAGAAAGCATTACAAGCCTTTACACTTTCAACTCCTTTGGGGAAGGTGTGTGTCAACGTTTACACGGGTCTAAACAACCCCTGTCATCGGTCAGGGTGTGCATTTCTGGGGATGCCTTCATGTGCCAGCCTCAGCTGTTGGGTGACAATCTCCCAAGCATTTTTATTTGTAAATGGCAGCCATAAGTGGCTTCAGTTTCAGCTGAGACTGAGGAGCGGGAGGGGGGATTTTAAACCACTTCCTCCTGTGTCATCTTCCTGACCTCAAACATCTCCACAGAGGTGCAATGTAACATCCAGGCAACATACAAGCAAACAGCAGCTTCACACCATGTTTGAGGCTGTAAAAATGGGTTGAGGAGAAGATGACCTCAGATCATCCAGCATCTCACCTGTAAACCAGACATACACCACGGAGTCACTGTTAGGGGACTTAGAAGACTGTAAACTCTGCTTAGGACTGCACTTAAGGAATGCTTAGACAAGGTCTTCTGGTTTTGGCTCTCTTAATGGCGGCTGCATTTTCCCGGATCGGAGGGGTTGCGATGGTACGCATCCTCCCCCCCCCAGAGCCCTTGTGTTGGGCTCCTAGCCATAGGGCGCTTGGAGGGCCCTTCCTCCGGTAAATGGCTGGTGAAGGGGGGCTGATCCCTGCTCCGACAGTCTCACCACTGATTTCCACAATGGACGCGGGGATGCACACGGGGACAAGCGCTTGGTGGCTGGGCGAGCTAATTACGAAAGGCAAGTTCTACACTGAAATGTGAGTGAATGCATAAGCGAAGACACCAGAAAGTAAGCTGAAAGCCTCCCCTTAACAAATCGGCATGGGGGGACTCCCCCTCAAAAAGAAAAAAACTGAACTGATAAATGAAGTTATAAGGGGCGGATTGCAAAACTGAATTATACTATAATAATGAACTTTTGAGAACTTACCAAAAATTTTTAAAGGATCTTGAGACTTTGATAACTTTTTCTAAAAAGTAAACAATTCTCAAACATGGCGCCTCCGAGGAGGGAGGAGAAGGACAAGCAACCAAAACTGAAGTTCCCTGCCGGAACTGCCAGCCCAGCGAGTTCTGTTCCTAGACAGGACACTACCATAGACTTCCAAAGTATGCTGACTGAGGCTCTGCGCCCTCTGCTGGAACAAATGGCATCGCTCCATAGGACGTTTGATGCACAACAAAGCCAGTTAAATGAAACTAATAAAAAGACAGAGAAAATGGAGCAAGAGCTCAAAGAAGTGCATGCCAACACCCAGAAGCTTAAAAAACAAATGCAGGTGATGGAGAAAAAGAGAGCAACTGACAAAGCTCAACTTTTACAGCTGCAAATTGAAAAGGCAAACTATGTCTTAAGATTTCAGGGGGTCCCTGAAGCAAAAGGAGAAGACTTGAAGTAGACTATGTGTGATGCATTGGGTCCGGTTGCAGGTTCAAAAGCGAATTTCTTACAAAACGAAATAGATACGATCTATAGGTCGTATTCTGACTACATAAAAAAGAATAATCTGCCCAGTGAGATTGTGGTGAGATTCTCCAGGAGACAATTTATGAGAACTTACCAAATTTTTTTAAAGGATCTTGACACTTTGATAACTTTTTCTAAAAAGTAAACAATTCTCAAACATGGCACCTTCGAGGAGGGAGGAGAAGGACAAGCAACCGAAACTGAAGTTCCCTGCCGGAACTGCCAGCCCAGCGAGTTCTGTTCCTAGACAGGACACTACCATAGACTTCCAAAGTATGCTGACTGAGGCTCTGCGCCCTCTGCTGGAACAAATGGCATTGCTCCATAAGAAGTTCGATGCACAACAAAGCCAGTTAAATTAAACTACTAAAAAGACAGAGAAAATGGAGCAAGAGCTCAAGAAGTGCATGCCAACATCCAGAAGCTTAAAAAACAAATGCAGGTGATGGAGAAAAAGAGAGCAACTGACGAAGCTCAACTTTTACAGCTGCAAATGGAAAAGGCAACCTATGTCTTAAGATTCCAGAGGGTCCCTGAAGCAAAAGGAGAAGACTTGAAGTAGACTATGTGTGATGCATTGGGTCCGCTTGCAGGTTCAAAAGCGAATTTCTTACAAAATGAAATAGATACGATCTATAGGTCGTATTCTGACTACACAAGAAAGAATAATCTGCCCGGCGAGATTGTGGTGAGATTCTCCAGGAGACAAGTAAGAGACCAAATATTGAAAGCAACAAAATGGAGCCACCATGAAAATCAAAGACAAAGAAATAAAAGTTTTGAAGGACATTGAAGTAAGGAAGAAGGAAAGAAATTCAGAGACTTGGTGCTGTTCCTACAGAAAAACAATGTCCCCTACAGATGGAGTGTTCCTGAATGCATGCTCTTCAAATTTAAAGATAAGAAAGAAAAAATTGACTCTGTTGTAAAGGCACGCGAATTTCTACATCAACATGCCGGTCCAGCAGGTGAAGAGGATAAAGATGAAGATGGCTGCAGCAAGGGAAGTGAAGAAGAAGGTGTACTGGCACCTTCTGATGAGGACTCAGCTTCTGATCGTGGGGTGGCTGCCCCTAAACTAAGCTATCGATTGAGAAACAAAAATGAGAAAAATGAGTTATGATTGCACTCTAGATTCTGCTTTAAATGAATTTAAATCATTTCTTTATAGAGCTCTTTATACAGTCCATTTTGTTGGAGATTCTAGTACAAGCATTAAGAAGTGTACTCACTCAGTGTAGCAAAGTATAATCTTATTTAACCATAAGCTAATTTTGTAAGCATTGTGAATGACCACCATCTCTTGGGTTTTTAGTGGTTTTTCTTTACTTTCACCTGTAGTTTGTAGTTACCTTCCCTTGTTTCTTGGTAGTTTATAGAAAATGCAATTAAAAAATCCCCTACGGGGGGACAAAAATAAAATAAAAGGAATGTTCAGACATTAGAATCAATGGACCTAGCAGCACAGGAAGTAGCAGCAAATTAAAATCAAGGTATGAATGAAATACATGGGGACATGCTGGGAGTAAGGAGGAAAGATCTTATTGAAGATCAAGTGTTATTCCCTACCTCATAGTCATCTCTCACTTTCAACCCCACCCCTTTTTAAATGGCCTCTTTCTCATAGATATGGTGACTGACTGTGTAGAAGACTTGTAAAAATGGTTTTAAATGAGGAGGAGGAGAAGAAGAAATTGGGTTTATACCCCGCCCTTCACTACCCAAAGAGCGGCTTACAAACTCCTTTCCCTTCCCCTCCCCACAACAGACACTCTGTGAGGTAGGTGGGGCTGAGAGAGCTCTCCTAAGAACTGTCCTTGAGAGAACAGCTCTGACAGAACTATAGCATGCCCAAGGTCATCCAGCCAGGTGCAAGTGGAGGAGTGGGGAGTCAAACCTGGTGAGGAGGAAATTCTTATCAAAAGTCTGGAATTACATGAACTGTGCACAGGGAGAGAGGGAGGCTAGGGAATGAAAAAGCACACATTTGATAAGTTCTTTAAAATTGTATTGTCTGACATAACTATATAATAAAAATCATACCAAATATAAATAACCCCCCCACACACATACACTGTGTTACCTTGCTGTTGCTAACTTACCAACAGTGGGTTGACCATCTGTCAGCAAAATTATCATCGAAATGCTTTGCTCTGGCAGTAACTCAGCAGTGGTGGCCTCATCCAGTGCATGTATTGCGGCCAGGAGAGCACCATTGATATCTGTTGCTGTAACAGTAAGGAAGACCTGATGACAAATTTGATATCACAGACAACAGGACTGGTTTCATTCCTTTGGAATCTTTCAAGTGAGGAGACTTCAAATACATGGGGGAAAGTGGACAAATACATGGGAAAAGCTGGGAGGTTTTGTCTAGCCATATATTGAAGCAAAACAAAAAACATGTAAACCAGGGCTGATTCCACATGGAAGTTTACTCCATTTCAGCAGCTCCAGTCATGTGCATTTCCTTTCATTTGTTAGTTTCTACATGATGTCATCCTCCATAAGAACATAACATAAGAACATAAGAGACGCCAATGTTGGATCAGGCCAAAGGCCCATCCAGTCCAACACTCTGTGTCACACAGTGGCCAGAAATACCAGGTGCCATCAGGAGGTCCACCAGTGGGGCCAGGATGGACCTCTGCTCCATATGCTTATCTAATTCCCTTTTGAAGCCGTCCATGCTTGTAGCACCCACCACTTCCTGTGGCAGTGAATTCCATGTGTTAATCACTCTTTGGGTGAAGAAGTACTTCCTTTTATCCGTTCTAACCCGACCGCTCAGCAATTTCATGGAGTGCCCACGGGTTCTTGTATTGTGAGAAAGGGAGAAAAGTACCTCTTTCTCTACCTGCTCTTTCCCATGCATAATCTTATAAACCTCAATCATGTCACCCCTCAGTCGTCGTTTCTCCAAGCTAAAGAGCCCTAAGCGCTTTAACCTTTCCTCATAGGGAAAGTGTTCCAACCCTTTTATCATTCGAGTTGCTCTTTTCTGCACTTTTTCCAAAGCTATAATATCCTTTTTAAGGTGTGGTGACCAGAATTGCACACAGTATTCCAGATGAGGTCGCACCATTGATTTATATAGGGGCATTATGATATTGGCTGATCTGTTTACAATACCCTTCCTAATAATCCCCAGCATAGCATTGGCCTTCTTTATTGCAGTCACACACTGTCTCGACATTTTCAGTGAGTTATCTACTACAACTCCAAGATCTCTCTCTTGATCTGTCTCTGCCAGTTCAGACCCCATCAATGTGTATTTATATTTAGGATTTTTGGCTCCAATGTGCATCACCTTGCACTTGGCCACATTGAACCCCATTTGCCATGTTGACGCCCACTCGCCCATCTTTGACAGATCCCTTTGGAGTGCCTCACAATCCTCACTGGTTTTCACCACCCTGAACAACTTCGTATCATCTGCAAATTTAGCCACTTCACTGCTTACTCCCAACTCCAAATCATTAATGAACAAGTTAAAAAGCAGTGGACCAAGTACTGATCCCTGCGGTACCCCACTGCTTACCCCCCTCCACTGAGAGAACTGCCCATTTATACTCACTCTCTGTTTTCTATTAATTAGCCAGTTTTTGATTTTTGAGCTTACTTAGGAGCCTTTGATGAGGAACTTTATCAAAAGCTTTCTGGAAGTCAAGGTAAACAATATCTATTGGATCCCCCTTGTCCACATGTTTGTTCATCCCCTCAAAGAACACTAACAGGTTAGTGAGACAAGATCTTCCCTTACAGAACCCATGCTGAGACTGCCTCAATAGGTTTTGTTCATCTATGTGCCTACTAATTCTTTCCTTAATAATGGAATTATTAATAATGGAATTAATAATGGAATAATTCCTCCATTCCTGCACGAACTGTAAACAGCCTGTTTTTGCCAAGAACTCCACTTTTATCACACCTGGAAAAATAGAAGATCCTTCCCAGCATGGCATTATTGGGATGATGTTTCTGAATGAAAGGAAACGTCCCCTTTCTCTGCACTTTCAGTGAACTGCTTTGCTGTCATTGCTCACACCAACAAAACTGAGATTTGTGTATTGGTGTGTGTGTGTGTTTGAGGACAATATCACTGTGCTGTTACTACATTAAGACAATGTAAGTGGCAAATGTTTTTGCCTGCTCTCCTGATTAGCATTTGAAAACTTCCAGCAGTGCTCTCTCCCCTTCCTCCCCCTCCTCCCTGGCAGTGGGAGGCCCATTAGATGAGGGATCAGCTGGGAGTTGGCTTCTGATCTTCTGCTGGGGATATTTTATTCAGCACCAAGCAAAGTTTTTTGGAGAAGCAGAATCAGGAGCTGACTGCCAGGTGATCACTGGGGTAAAAACCAGAACTTGGGTTCTTCTGATCTTCCATCCTGGAAACTTTGCTGCGTTCCAGGCTTTCTGAGATGCAGCAAATTTAGCAGAGTGGTGGTGGTGATCAAAAGCCCAGCTGATTTCCCTTTTCTTCTTCCCATCCATACTGTCAGCTGGAGCCAGGGCCGGATTTAGACTTGCTGAGGCCCTAAGCTATACAAAACCCAGAGGCCCCCTACTGTTTTAAATTACATCAGCTGGTCTCAGAAAAATTTAAAATATATATGCCTTTTTAATATTTGAAATCATTTTTTATATTGTGTTTTTATTCGAGGCCCCAGCAGATTGCGAGGCCCTAAGCTGTAGCTTATTTAGCTTATGCGTAAATCCGGCACTGCCTGGAGCTCTCAAGACAAGGAGGAGATTTCACGGGAGATTCTTTTCTCCTCATCCCAAGTTGTTGGCTTTGATTGCAGAAGAAAGGAAAGAAACTATCTCTTTTGCTTCTGAACGGGAAGATAAAAAGCATTGCTTCTGTACCCACCCACCCCGGCCCTGCTTAGACAGAAGGAAGAGACATTATGCTTTTCTCCTGTCCCTTTTGCACAGGGGAACCAGAAGCTCATGCCTACTTGGCTTCTGATCTCCAACTTCAGTGTATGGCTATGTTTCTGACCTAGCTCAGAGCTGATCACCCAAACACCTTTGAGTCAGCTTCTTCCCAACAGCCACCTGCAAACTTGTTCAATAGTTGTTTAAGTTGCTCGATGCAGGCTGAACAGTCTGATCATGAGTGTTGTTGAACAGGAAATGTCAATGGCTGAACAGGTTTGCTATGAAATTTGAAGGACCCTTAAGTTTTACCTCCTTGGGCTCTAATGGTCCTAACATATTGTTTAGCCAGCTCCACATTCTCTTTTGTAGCTGGCAACAGAGTTGGCTTCCATGCAGCGATATTGCTACTAAAGATTATTAAATTAAAGAGGTCTTCAGGATTCAGGTCTTCCAAAATTTTTTGTATGGCTTCTTTGGTCTGTAAAATAAGTGAATATTACATAATATTCAAGCACATAATATCCAAGCATATATTTAGAGTCAACAGCCAAAGCCTAAAATAAAACCTGCAGCGCTCAGGCCTAATATGCAATACATGGAGTACATCCAATAATCCATCAGTGGAAGGAGTAAAAAATTTTCCCTTCCTGCCAGCAGTCACCGCAAACCTCTGGAATGCTGATTTCTGGGCTCAGACAACCTGTGTGAATAATTTGCCACGTGGGTTAGGGACTGCAGTGAGGAGGAATGGGCAAAATGGCCCTTCCTCCTTCTTCTGCAAGTGCAACTCCACTGAATTAAGGCACCCACCCAACCCACAATGGTTTTCCTGCACACGGTCCTGCAACTCCAGGAATCAGCTTTCTGGAGATCAGAAGTGATGGCTGGGACAAGGGGAGCATGGCCAAAGCCCACCTTCTGTTGATGCACTGCTGTGTTGTTTCTTATATGTGTAAGAGTTTTCTGTATAGGAAAATTATAATTTATGAACACAGTTGTCAAGTCTGGGTTGGGAAATTCCTGGAGATTTAGGGGTGGTGCCTGGGAAGGGCAGGTTTTTTGGGGTGGGGAGGGGAGGGACCTCAGCAGGGTACAATGCTGTAGAGTACACCCACAAAAGCAGCCATTTTCTCCAAGGGAATGGGTCTCTCTGGAGATTAGTAATAATTCTGGGAGATCTCCAGAGTCCAGGCCCCACCAGGAGGATGGCAACCCTATGCTTGAAGCAAGTTTATAGGTGACTAACTTTTTACATGATAGGTCACAGAACATAAAATAAACAGCTTCTGCAGTGTGAATTTCACTTTGGGTCAAGTTCATGACTCAGAACTACTATCAGACTTTGTTGTGAGATAATTACCTGTTATCCATCCTGAAATGTCTTTTGTGATGTCCATAAAAAACATGACAAATTATGTTAACCCCTGTCCTATGATAAGCATACTCTTATCTCTATCAAATGACTAACGGGATAAAGATGTGATATTTTCTGCAGACATGGAGGTGGAAACATGAGGTTTTCTGCGCAGGCAAATTTAAGAAAAGAAATAGGGCAGCAATTCAGACAGTGTGCCAGTGTGCCTACTGACCCTATTGGTTCCCCCACTACTAGGGTTACAACAGTGGAGACAACAACAACAGTAATAATAATAGCCCTAAAATGAGATTATTGCTCTTTGTGGAGTTTAGATAGCCCTCAACAATTTTAAATGATAAACAATATTAATACAGTGAATGAATTCCAGAAAATTGTCTACTTTGAGAAAAAATTACCTGCTGAATTTTCTTGCCACTCATAGATCCACTATTATCTATGACGAAAACAATATTTTTGGGAAACACAGGTATTTCACTGGGTGCAAAATAATGCACAAAATATCCGTTGACAATCTGAAACAAAAAAGAACTTTTCATTATATATGGTATATATTTCAACATGACAGTGGATAAAATAACTAAAACAAAATAATCTAGGATATATAATTCAGGGTACAATCTTCAAGCCTGTTGGTAAACTGCTATGCTGGCATAATTTAGAGATATGAATACATAGGGTTGCCAAATCTCTTCTGCCTGGGAGCAGGGGGCTCCCGGCCAGCGTCTGGGAGCGTGCGCGCGTCACCTGGAAGTGATGTCACACGCTGGGGGCGGGGCCACGGCCCTTTGAGGGGAAAACAAAGAGTTTCCCCCTCAAATGGCAGCAATTTTCTTTAATGAGTGAATTTTTCAACAAAAATTAATGGCGTTTTTAAAGTGTTTGTTATGAAAATAAGGCTATCTTAGTGACAGAAACAGAATCATAAGCCAGTGGATTGAAGTACTTAACCTTAGAATGGAGCATGCTCAGTGTTGCAGCTTCCCCTAAAGTGGGCTGGTTGTTCCCAGCAGCCTAGCAGTTCAGCCTGGCCCAGGAAGAAGTAACAGCACCATAAGGGTGGGGAAAGGCCTGCACAGATCTTGTTGTTTCAAGGCCTGCTCTGGATTATTGCAGGTAAATTATTAATATTTAGAACTCTTGCAATACATGTTTTTAGTATTCTGTTTGTTAAAGATTCTGAGGAGTTTGGCCAGGCCCAGGAAGAAGCTGCACCATAAGGGGAGGGAAAGGCCTGCACAGATCTTGTTGTTTCAAGTAGGGTTGCCAAGTGTACTTACCCTTGGCAGCAGGAGAGCCTTGCCAGTCTCCAGGAGCTCTTCCAGGATGCGTGTGCTATGTTGCTAACGTTGGGGGCGTGGCCCAGATAGTTGGGGGGAAACCATATGGTTTCCCCCCGATGACCTGGGCCACGCCCCAAACGTGAGTGATGTGGCTGCGTCACCTCTGGTGATGCAGCTTTGGGGGGCGGAGTCCCCCCGGGGCCCAATTCCGCCGCGGCAGAAATTTGGCCTCCAAAGCGGGGGGTTTCCCCGCCCCCCCGCCCCCCGCCCCCACTTGGCAGCCCTAGTTTCAATGCCTGCTTTGGATTACTGCAAGTAAATGTTGGTAAACTGTGCAAGTATTAGAGATCTTTTAAAACAAAGGTGAAGTGGGATTCAGGATCCAAGTGAGAAGAACTGCAGCCTCCCAGATGCAGCCTGGAAATCTTATCTGATGTTCCAATATTGTGAGGTTAACCTGGAATTAAAATATATGTATTACTTATGTGTTTAGACTTTTTGTACTGTGCATCTTTGTGGATGCTGAAGATATTTGTAGCCAATAATATCCTAAAAAGCCTTGCTATGAAGTAATAGCAACTGGACTGGGATGAACAAGGAATCCTATGAAAACCTCCATGAATTTGTTTATATAGTTTATTGTAATGTTAAATTGCATCTATTTCATTGCCTCTTTTATGTTTGTGTTTAAGTGTGTTATTCATAAATACATGTAGTTGCAATAGAACTAATAATAATAACAACTTTATGGCTGTAATGGTAGCGGTCAAAACCCCAAGAGGAATAGCAATGAGTTCCAGAAAGTGAGTTCAAGAAAATACTTAAGTGGACACCAAAAACGCAAACCTCAAGGAGAAACGATCTGATAAAATTTCTAAATGTCAAAAATTATCAAACTATTTTACAATGTCAAGTCAAACTTTGTCAACACCTACAGCTGAAACAAGCCAAGCAAGCACCAGTGAAGCCAGTGATGGTGCACAAACCACAGGAGCTCTTTCTAGCAATCATCAGCCCACTGTTGACACTTTTGGTACAGATGGCAATCACAGTGGCCAACATGAGAGTACCACAGAACAAGAAGAGACAGAGCAGAAACAGGAAGCAAATTCAGTGATTTCAAAGAATACAGTGACCTCACAAACTGGCCCATAACAGTTGATAATGATTTTATACAGAATTGTTTAATGCAAGACATCAGTTTTTTTTCCCTTCAAAAAAACAAAAACAAAACCAGATGATGTATATACCAAATCCAGCAAGGTTTACAAGGAGCAAAACAGAAGTTTCTCAAACAAATACTTTGAAAAGAGATTGGAAAATGGTCAGACTGTGATAAGATCCTGGTTAGTTTACTCAAAGAGCAAAGGCTGTATATACTGTTTTGCTTGCAAACTCTTTTCTAAGTGCCAAACATTACTCACAACAGGTGGGTTTTCTGACTGGATGAATGTACTCAGAACTCTGGAGAATCATGAAGACAGCATGGAACATAAGAGGGCGATGTTGTGTTGGATAACAAGAAAGTCAAATAAAAACACTGTGGATCAGCAACTTGAAGAACAGCTGAGAAAAAAACATACAGTACTGTTTTGAAGTACTGAAAAGAGTTGTAGCTGTTATAAAGTTTTTATGTGAAAGAGGTTTAGCATTTAGAGGTCATGAGGAGAAGTGGGGCTCACCAAATAATGGAAACTTCATGGGGGCCATTGAACTTATTACAGAGTTTGATCCATTTTTACATGAGCATCTTGAGAAATGTAAAAATGAAAAAGTAAATGTTACCTATCCAAAACCGAGTATGAAGAACTGATAGAAGTCATGGGGAAACATGTGCAAGATGAAACTGTGACTCAAATCAACAATCTAGACATCAAATCTATATATCTAATAGCCAACAGATGGCGCCGTGCGGATACTTAGTCCCAGGAAAAGGAAGCTCGCTCTGCCTCAGAAGCTGCTCCTACTTACTCAGTACACTTCCTGTATCTGCACAAAAATGCAAAAACTAAGAAAATCGCTCCAGGGATTGCTGAATTCCCCCCAAAACCCTTTGAAATGGGCTCTGCAGGGATCTGCTTCAGACACCAACTGTGAGAGAGAGGTTAGAACGTTCGGGGGGGGGGAAGAGGCTTCTAACCGGCTCTGTGAGTCAAAGGGTGTGGGGGAAGGGCCCTTTTCCAGGCCTCCTTTGGCCTTTCAGGGAGGGAGGGAGCCTTGGGGCCTGGCCTGGGGAGTCCCTAGAGGTTTTGAGGTGGGATTGGGGAAGGGAGAGGTCTCAGCTGGGTATAATGCCACAGAGTCCACCTATTCTGGGCAAACATAAGCTGTCAGTTGAAAATATCTGTGGTCAGACCTATGATAATGCATCCAACCTGAAGGGCTCAGAGAAAGGGCTGCAAGCACTCTTTAAAAACATTAACAGGTATGCAGACTATGTACCATGTGCAGCCCATTCACTCAGCCTTGTTGGAGTAAAGGCAGTGTCTACTGTGCCTGAAGTTGTTGACTATTTTGGCATTTTGCAGGAGCTGTATGTTTGCTTTTCTGGATCTCCACAAAGATGGGGAATTTTAAACACACATGGCAATCTAGATTTTTCCCTAAAGAGCTTAAGTGTAACTAGATGGTCTGCATAATATGAAGCAGTCCGGGCAATTAAAAATGGATATACAGGTATTTTACAAATTCTCAAACAGATTTTTGAAGACTCAGAAGAGAAGCCTAAATGTAAATGAGACGCAAAGAATTTATACCACAAGCTAGTAAAGTTGGAATATGCTATTTTAATAGCTGTTTGGGAAGAAGTTATTGAGCGTTTCAACAAAACAAGCAAGAAATGGCAAACTCCTGGTTTTGATGTATTTGAAGGTTGTTGTTATCTTTAATTTCATTTGTTAAAGAACTCCAAGAAAATTCAGCTGATCGAATTGTACACTATGAATCAGAAGCAAAAGGTTTGTGTAAAGATATTATCTCAAGTTATTCTGATGCTTCCAAATGCATGGTTACAAAGGAATTTTCAGATGGAACAAGTGGAAGGGCTTCTTTGAAAGGAGCTGAAAAATTTAGGATAGAAGTTCTAAATCAACTCTATGACTGCTTGGTAATCCAGTTAGACAAGAGGATTGACCCATATGAGCAGATTGAAAAAAGGTTCAAGTTCCTCTCAGAATTGGTGAACAACTGAAATTGATGAGGACAATATTAAACTTATAATATTGTATTACAAAGATGATATTGACCATAAATTAGTAAACGAGTGTTACCAGTTCAAAGAATATTTACACCTGAGGAAATCCCAGAACACAGAAGAAAACATGCCATCTAAAATGCAAAACGCAGAAGTTTTTCAGCTTATTTATGAGCAACACCTGATTGAAGTGTTCCCTAATATTACTACTGTGCTTAACCTGTACTTGACAGTGCCTATCACAAGCTGTGAAGCAGAAAGAAATTTCTCAAAGCTTTCCTTTATAAAGAACAAATTTTGATCTACCATGACTAAAGAGAGCTTAAATTCTTTATGCATATTGTTTGTAGAAAATGGCATTGCAAGGAAGCTCTCATATGACAAAACTGTATGTGAATGTGTTGCTAGAAAAAACATGTCGTATGTATTCTCATGTGGTCTTTGCTATGTTTTATTTCATCATTCTATGATGCATCATGCATGTATACGTTTCCCTAATTTTCATCCCCCATAACTTGAAAACTATAAGGCATAGCCTAGGAAATTTTTATTCACACAAGTGATTTTGACATGTAAGATAAACTTTTAAAATCAAATCTGCGATATAGTAGTTAATTTAAAAATAATAATGTGGTGGTCTGCCATGGAATAACTGCATTGAAGAAGATAACAGCAGTTACCCAGACCTCCTTGCTGGTGGGAAGGGGCTCACTGTATGGCTTATTTTCAAGGGCTCCACCCCAACACCCTGTTTTCTGCCATTTGAGTCTTGAGATCCTTGCAAGGGCAGGAAGGCCCTTTGGACCTTGTTGGATGTTGCCCTATTGTTGCTGGTTGCAAAGGGCCCCCCATAACAATTCAAGCTTCAGGCCCCAAAAATGTAGCTCCGTCCCTGGGTGGATTGCCATTGCATTCCTCTGCAAAGTCTTCCAGTAAATTCTGGTCACCACACCTTAAAAAGGATATTAAAGCTTTGGGGGAAGTGCAGAAAAGGGCGACTCGAACGATAAAACGGTTGGAACACTTTCCATATGAAGAAATGTTAAAGCACTTGTGGCTCTTTAGCTTGGAGAAACGACGGTTGAGGGGTGACATGATTGAGGTTTATAAGATTATGCATGGGATGGAGCAGGTAGAGAAAGGGGTACTTTTCTCCCTTTCTCACAATACAAGAACTCGTGGGCACTCCATGAAATTGCTGAGCGGTCAGGTTAGAACAGATAAAAGGAAGTACTTCTTCACCCAAAGAGTGATTAACACATGGAATTCACTGCCACAGGAGGTGGCGGCGGCCACAAGCATGGATGGCTTCAAGAGGGAATTAGATAAGCATATGGAGCAGAGGTCCATCAGTCGCTATTAGCCACAAGGTATAGATAGGGGCTCCGGGGCAAGTGATGCTCTGCATTCTTGGTGCTTGGGGGGGGGTCAATAGTGGGAGGGCTCCTAGTGGCCCCACTGGTGGACCTCCTGATGGCACCTGGTATTTCTGGCCACTGTGTGACACAGAGTGTTGAACTTGATGGGCCTTTGGCCTGATCCAACATTGACTTCTCTTATGTTCTTCCCTGGTGGTCTCCCAACAAAGTACCAACCCTACTTAGCTTCTGAGATCTCACAAGATCAGACTATAAGCAACCCTACCAGTACATGGATGAAACTGGTGGTGCTGAGGGCATGCCAGGGGAAGCGAGCACTTACTCAGTATTCTAGGTCCTCCTCAGCTTGTATACCACCCACTGAAGAACTATGAAAACTGAACTGTCAATTAAAAAAAAAAACCTCTAAGAGAAAATTATGCAGTGGTATATTGTCACCCTGCTTATTTAATTTATATGCAGAGTACATCATGCAAAATGCCGGCCTGGATGAATCGCAAGCCAGAATTAAGATTGCCGGGGAAAACATCAACAACCTCAGATATGCACTCTAATGGCAGAAAGTGAAGAGGACCTAAAGAGCCTCTTGCTAAGGGTCAAAGAGGAGAGCGCAAAAGCTGGCTTGAAACTCAATCTCAAAAAAACTAAGACCATGGCATCTGGTCTCATCACTCCTTGGCAAATATAAGGGAAAGCCATAGAAGCAGTGACAGACTTCATGTTCCTGGGATCCAAGATCACGGCAGACGGTGACTGCAGCCATGCAATTAAAAGATACCTGCTCCTTGGGAGGAAAGCTATGGCAAACCTAGACAGCATAATAAGAAGTAGAGACATCACCCTGCCAACAAAAGTCTGTATGGTTAAACCGATGGTATTCTCAGTAGTACTGTATAGCTGTGAGAGTTGGACCATAAGGAAGGCCAAGTGCTGAAGAATAGATGTTTTTGAATTATGGTGCTGGAGAAGACTCTTTAGAGTCCCCTGGAATGCAAGGAGATCAAATCAGTCAATCCTAAAAGAAATCAACCCTGACTGTTCCCTGGAAGGCCAGATACTGAAGCAGAAGCTCAAATACTTTGACCACCAAATGAGATGGGAGCACTCACTGGAGAAGATCCTGATGCTGGGAATGATTGAAGGTAAAAGAAGGGGACAACAACGAATGAGATGGTTGGACAGTGTCATGGATGCAACGAACATGAACTTGAGCAAACTCCAGAGGACGGCAGAAGACAGGAGGGCCTGGAGTGAAGTGACCCATGGGTCACAAGGCGTCAGACTCGACTGTGTGACTGAACAACATCAACAAAAAAACATTTTCCAAGCAAACAAAAGCCCATTTTAACTAGCTGGCTGTGTTTATGGAATATGCCGAGTTTATGGAATATTTGGCATTATTGCATAAAACTGCCTTTTCTGCACTTAGCCAAAAGAGGTCCGTCACTCTGGAATTGTTCATATTTACCTGTATATCTCCTGCAGTGACACTCCTTTTAACATCATAACGAATGAGAAAATCTCCATCTAGCAGAGTTTCTTCCAGCTCAGGACTTTTTCTTTGTTGTGTTATTGTTGGTTTAAATGTGATATGAGCCTGAACATTAGACAGAGAAGCAAGTCAGTCAAGCTTACAAGAAGGACCACAGCTTCTGTATCAAGGCAGTTTTCCAGAATTGTTGTATACCTTGGTCTCCCCCAGCACATTTGTGAGGGCATCACTTAGTTCATTGGTTAGAAAGGTGCTGTCAGTTTCCAGGAAACTTATGCCTTGGGGTTCAAAGATGTGGATGTCAATCTGAAGAGAAGAAAACATGAGGATATCTTTCAGTTGCGACATAGTGCCAGAAGGTGGTTTCTGTTGGCGACAGAAGCATCTGCCAAGAACTGACCTGGAAGTGTTTCACAAGCTGTTTCGGCTTAACCTTAATCAACAGTTCATACTTTCTTAGCTTCCGTTTTAGTAACTCCTCATAGATCAGCTCAAATGTAACCTTCCCAGCTGCTGCAACATTGACTGAAACATGAAACTGCTCTAGTTTCCTTCCAGTTGATCTGAAAATAAGAAAAATATTGTGTAGGCCTTACAATGGCAACCAAATATCCCGAAGTAAATAAAATTAGTGAGCAGGTTGTCTGGGCTTTTTCAGTCCAAGGCTGAGCCCACAACTCTTTTCTTCCATAACAACAACTTTTGCTTTTCAGCTCTCCCTTTTAAGTAACTTCCAGTCACTTCAAATACTAAGTTGTAATAAAAAAACCCAACAGTTTACCCGATGAAAGGGAGAATGTGGGGGGCAATTGGGCCAGTCCATGACTTTTTTGGGGTTTTGTCTGTAGTACTAATTGTTATACTGCGTAATCTGTTTGTGTGCATGCACATTTATTTGATCTGCCATTAGAAGGGAATCAGGTGTAGTGGTGGGAAAGTCCTGTACCCCAGATCCTCAATAAACAAGAAAATGGTGGTGGAGGAGCACCTGTATTAGATATTGAAGGGTCTGTAAATCTACTTTCTGCATTTTTAAGAGAGCCACAAAAGCCACTATAGTTCCTTGTTACTCAGATGATATTCTTTCTATTCCAGGTTCAGGGGATACAGTCAAGATGTATTTTTAATCTGCAACTGGTTGCATCAAAAACCTTGGGTGAGACCTGCACTTTGAAGTTTTTGGCTTCTCTTTTTGGTATAGTTGTGTGATCCATTTGGTCTCATCTGTGTTTTATTCTAGAATCGCTTCTATTTGTTAAACAAGGTATGGAGGACAAAGAGATTGGATTAAGTGTGATTTAACCTATGGGGAAAATAAACCAAAAGAGTCAGAAAAGTTTTCACAGCGTACCGGACCAATCCAGCACTTTGTCCTCGTGAAACAGCAGCATCATACTGATCTTGGGCAGCTTTCTTTTCCTTTATTGTTCCAGGGTAAGTTTTTCCATCAATGGTCCTTCAAAACAAACAAATATTAGGAACAATGAAAGCAAATTTGGGACAGACCTTTTCTTTTTCTAAGATTAGGGTCTCCACCCTCCAGGTGGCACCTGGAGATCTGCTTAGAGAAAATAGCTGCCTTGGAGAGTTGAACTTTAGGGCATTAGACCTTGCTGAGGTCTCTCCCTTCCCCGAACCCACCCTCCTGGCTCCACCCGCCCCCAAATCTCCAGGAATTTCCCAACCTGGACCTGGCAACCCTACTTAGGACTCTTGCTGATGTTACGCTTGGAGGCAGGCAAGGAGAATATGGTCATATCATGATTTGAAGGTCATAGCAGAAAGGGAAAGAAACTGGTTCCCCTGCCTGCATCTGTGTGGAGGGAAATGTTCTGCCCTGGTCCCTCAGGACGCAGGAGGCATGAGTTCTGAAGAGCAGGCTGCTGAGACCGGGCACAACATGCAGCTCAGACAAATAGGGTGGATGCTAGGCTACTATGTAGGCCCAATTTATTCTCCTCATCAACTGTTCTGCTGCTATTGAACACGCAGGAGGGTTTATGGGAGGCTCCACAGCACAGAGTGATGTAGTTCTACTGGTTATCAGCATCCACAACAATGTGGAGGAGCACTAGTAGCTACAGCAACTGAAGTTACCTGAAAGAAGCAATGACAAGCTCTGCTGTTTTGACAAAGAAGGAGAGGGGCAGCTGTGGAGCAGCGCAGGCGCTGGAGACTGTGACAGCAGTGGGGGGTGGGGGTGGGCTGAAAGTCTTCTGCCAGCTCAGAAGCTTTTAAGAAGCCCTAGAGATGATCTTACATGCTGAAGTTTGTGATGAAGGCTGTCTTGGGTAGCTCCACTTCAAAAAGTGCCTCCTGGGATACATTCGCTCTGTTGGCAACTTTGCTGGTGATGACTGTGTGCGCAAATCGTGAGGTAACTTTGCTGTCCACATGCAGGCTGTAGATTTCAATGGCATTCTAGGGAAGAAGAAGAAGAAGATGAAGAATTGTTTTTTGTACCCCACTTTTCTCTACCTTAAGGAGTCTCAAAGCAGCTTACAATCACCTTCTTTTCCTCTCCCCGCAACAAACACCCTGTGAGGTAGGTGGGGCTGAGAGAGTTCTGAGAGAGCTGTGACTGACCCAAGGTCACCCAGCTGGCTTCATGTGGAGGAGGAGTGGGGAATCAAACCCGGTTCTCCAAAGAGTCCACCGCTCTTAACCGCTACACCACTCTGGAAAGGGTGGTGAAGATTATGTTCATTGTATCTCAGTACAGTTTATGTTAGTGTGTGACTGGTGGCTTGATAGAGAAATCAGTTTCAATAATCTACTTCAGATACAAGAACCAAGTGTCACGAAAAAAACCAAATTGCTGAAATGAAAAAATTATAAAATCTCTCTCCTTGCTTTTTTAAGTGTCTGGGTATTTCTGCATGAAAATACAGTTCAGCATTTTCTTTGTTGCTGACATGTTTTCAGCTGAAGCACTCCAACAACTAGTTGCCTTCCTCCACTTTTTCTTACAGACAACCTGCTAACCTAAAACAACTTCTCACCCGCAATGATAAACTACTTATCAGTAACATGGACTCTGGTACCAAGGCCTGCAACAAGCCAAAATGCCAACTTTGCTCTCATATAGATCCTAGCAACATCAGCCATACCATCTCAGGTTCATATTCCTGCTCATCCTCTAATGTGATTTATGCCATCACATGTCAACAATGCCCTTCCACCCTCTACATTGGACAAACAGGCCAGTCTCTTCAACAAAGAATTAATGGACATAAATCTGACATTAAGAACCACAGCATTCAAAAACCACTTGGGGAACATTTTAACCTTCCAGGGCATTCAGCTGCTGACCTAAAAGTAGCAGTTCTCTTACAAAGGAATTGCAAAGGGAAATTAGAAAAAGAGACTGCTGAACTGCAACTGATAACAAAGCTCAAGAGAATGCATCCACCTGGGTTGAATCAAGACCTATATTTCCTGCCTTAATACCAATGCTGATTCTCCATGTGTAACGTATCCAGTCACGACCGCGTGGCAGACGGGGGCTCCACGTGGTACTGCTAAATCTCTGAGCTTCGCTCCAGCAAATGATGGACTAATCGGATCCTAGCCCACACCAATCCGAGGGCTAGGCTCCTGGCCGAGAACCGATGGAACTCTCGGCCACTGTAAATAGCCTATTATGGTGTGGGGGGGGTTTTGGGGTGTGGTTTTCACGGAATATAAGCCGGCGTGCAAGCTATCTGCAGGCTAAAGTTATCTTGTTCTGCACTAATAAAAGTATGAGAGCTGTAATCACTCGTCAGTCTCAGTACTTTTCATTGGCAATGAAGGTGGGATTCATCCTCCCATGAACAGAGACCAAGAACTGAGCATCGCATTGAGCCCCAGCGCCGAGATATTCGCACGCCACTCCGCCTCGTGCCCAGCATCTCTGGTTGCCGCTCACCGCACCGCTCCCAGCACGAGTATTGCACTGCTGACCCAGGGAGCAGCCCCGCACTGCTCCTCGCCCCGCCGACCGCTGCCACAGATCCTGAGCCACCACCTTAAACACGGCTACCCATCTTGATCTATTTCTACTTTTTCTCTGTGTTGGGGTTTCTCTTGCACATGCTCCAGTGAAGGATAAGATTGTTGCATGGTTGCCAGCGAGTGGGTGGCACCAGTGGGAGGCTGGAGGGGGAGCAGGGGGTACTGTCACTTAACGTCATGATGTCATTTCTGGGGTGAACCTGTAAGTGATGTCATGCCACTCTAGGATTCAGCAGACATTCCACCATAGAGTTTCTGCTGAATCCTAGAGGAACATGATGTCATTTCCTGGTTTGCCCTGTGATAGCAATTTTTTCTGCACTTTCCCACCTCCATCCTACTGAATAGCAACTGGTGTCAGGCAGTTCCCAATGGGACACCTCCTGGTATAGCTGGCATGATGTCATTTCCTGGTTTGCCCTGTGATGGCAATTTTTTTCTGCACTTTCCGACCTCCATCCTACTGAATAGCAACTGATGTCAGGCGGTTGCCAATGGGACACCTTCTGGTATAGCTGGAGACCTGGCACCCTGCTTTTCTGTCATACCTTTCTTCACTGGTGAGGTGGAGATGCACCACCTTTTTTTTCTTTTGCAGAGTTCTATCTTTTCTAGACCTGAGGCTACATTTTTAAACAACCCCCCCACACAAGCAAATCTATGTAAGCTTACTGGGACCCCCATTAAAGCAGGATGGGGGAGGAGGACCCATCTCCATGCTTCTCTACCTGTTTCACTCACATATCTTATTTATTTATTTATTTATCTTTCAACTTTCTACACCGCTCGAACCCCCCGCAGGGGGTCTCTGAGCGGCTTACAGTTAATTGATTATCCCTACCTATGGCCACATATACTGGGGATGGGGACAGCCCTACCGGCACCCTGTGGAGGGTCTTTGTCCTGTCTTGCCTTCTGAGCCCCTGATGCCTTGCTATGGGAAACACTTCCCCTACAAGCCCCTTGGGTTACAAGTCATTGTTCCCATAGATACCACCAGGGATCCTGTCTTATCCTCCTCCCTTGATTACAGCCATTCTGGTGATCCATTTACTCCCAGAGAATTGGGAACTGTTTGTGTGTGAGTGAAAGAGTGAGAGAAGCATGAAGCCAGTTTCTCCCCACACACATACACACTTAATCCCCCTGTAACCTGGAGTGTCCATTAGCAGTCAGACAGCAGGTAGCGTTCCTAAACAGTAATACAGCCAGCCCATTAAAGGGGGGGGGAGGATATTAAATAGCTAAGCATACCATTCTACTGGAAGACAATCCCCCCCAATGAAAAAATGCTCAGTTTATGGTCACTGGCTACAGCAGTATATCGACATGACAGCAAGGGTTTTTAAAGTAAATGGCAGGTGCAGCCAGGGGAAATGGCAGCAGATCAGGAAGAAAAGGCGGTGGGAGGAAACAGGGTGTGAAAGTGGTTGCATGTGGGTATGACCTTTAAAAGTGCAGCAAACTGTACTGACTCCACAAAAACATTTCAGGTGTGTTCCTTTCAGAAAACATGAACACAAAGTTAGTCTGGAAAAACAGTGGTTAAGGGGAGAGCTGGCTGGAAACCAGCACAACCATGACTTCCACCCAGCGCTGTGTGTAAGATTAGGGGGGGGGGGACCCTGTAGTAAAGAAGCAGAGTTGCAGCACAAACTCCATGCAGAAATGCCCTTTGTGTGTCCTACTTGTTGCAAGACAGTTTCTGGCTACATGTCACATTTGGCAGGGCAAACATCCTGCGTGGGTGGTGTCCTCTGCTTGCCTAAACAGCCAGTGACCCTGGACTAGCCATTGCTTAATGTCACACTTTTAGGTGGATGGGGACATCGGCTGCCTTGGATGTGGGCTCCCAGTACCTCAACAGTTATTTGTCAGAAGTATTTCATTAAGTTCTGTAAGTTTTTATAATAATGAGATATTATAACAGTACACAAGCTCTTGACACAGACCTGTTTCAAAAATCATCACCTGCTGTTAGGTAGGGAAGGGGAGCAGGGAAGGCAAACCTTCTCAAACAACTGATAAATCATTCTTCAATATTGATTTAAAGAATAATTTCCCCTGGAATTTCCCATACTATGGTGACTCTTGTGTGAAAGCATGTAGGAGATGGTTTGCTGGATCCTATGGAAATTTCCTGCCTTTCCTGATGGAAAACTAGCACAGGATCCAACCCTATTTTGACATTTTCAGGAGTCCTTAGGTTCAATTGAAGGGTAAAATGGGAATAAATGAAAAAAAACCATTTAGTAGCACATAGTTTAAGAATATTTTCTTAGGATTACATTCTTTAAATATATTTAGGATTTAGTAAAGATTCATGTTAGAAAAACTCACAGAATTTTCATGGCTGAGTTATAAAAATGAGGCAAACTGATAAGATAGGATCTCAACAGAAAGTAGGCAATGGTTTATTGTACCCCAATATATTTCAGATTAAATTTAACACCTTTCTTCAGGGACAACTCAATGCATTCGTTTCTGTCCCAAGATAAGATAATTTTCTGGTGCTGCCCAAATCTAGCACAGATATCACCATCTGGTTTCAGGATTACCTTCACTGCCAAATAAAAATATTTAACCAAATATAAATACTCTCCATGGCCAGTTCCAAGCCTTGAAGGGGTCTGCGGAGAAAATGCCCGGGCCCCCCGACTGATGCCTTCCTTTCTACCCACCCAAATCCCCACCTGCCTGTGTCCTTCCTTCACTCACTTGTTTGTGAGCTTTCACACCGACCTTTTGTCATTTCCCCAGTGATGCTGGGTGGTGTGTTCAGATAGGAACACAACCACTGTGCCCAGCAGAAGTGCCACCATTGTATACCAACTACAGGTCCTTCCTCGGCAACATGTGGTTGGGGAGCTCTGTAGCAGTGGGCACTGCCAAAAATCCTGGACCCTGGCAGCTGCCCCACCTCAGGGTATATTACACTGGCCCTGGCATTGCCTATAAATTCTTTCCACATATTGAAATAGACAATGTCTGGTGTACAAAAAAGTTGAGAAGAAGACCCTGCAGGGGGCAGCAGAAGACAATTAGATAGGACAGTGAGGTCAGCAGCTTCTCTCCTGTTGTGTCATTTCTTGTCTGTTGTCACAAAAAGCGCTCCAGGCTGTAGCACCGGGCAGTTGGGACACAGGGACAATTATGTAATTAGCCAACTCGAGAGCCAGAATTTAACTAAAGGCATGCAAATGAGCAAATGTGTTGCTGAAGAGAAGTGTATACTGTGTCAGAGCAAAGGGGATGAGACCTAGCTTTAATAAGCAGTGTGGCACAAGCCAAATGCAGCGACACCTAGTCCTGATACACAGTTATATTTGTGGACAAATTAAAACTTAAACCTTGAGTGGGAATAAATATGTGCCAACCTTTATTGATGACTACTCAAGTTACACTGTGACCTACCAAATTAAAGATAAAAGTCAAGTGCTGGAAAAACTTAAAACATATGTGGCAATGGACAGTAACAGATTTCAAACAAAGCCACTAGCAACCCACACTGATAATGGAGGGGAACACATGGGACATGAGATGAAGAATTATTTGACTGAACAAGGCATAGATTATCATTTTATAGTCCCGTACACTCCAGAGCAAAATGGTGTAGCAGAAAGAAAAACCACTCTTACAGAAATGTCTAGATGTACACTCCCTGACTCTCTCATGGATCACTGCCTTGATGTGGCAAGGGGGCTTGCATGGTTCAATGAGGCTGTGGCCTATGCCGTGGAGGGCCACCCAGTATGGACAGGCCACAGCAGAGAACTCAGACAAAACATGATCCACTGGAGAAGGAAATGGCAACCCACTCCGGTATCTTTGCCAAGAAAACCCCATGGACAGTAACAAAAGGCTAAAAGATATGATGCTGGAAGATGAGCCCCTCAGGTCAGGAGGTGTCCAATATGTTACTGGGGAAAACCAGAGGGCAAGTACATGTAACCCCAGAAAATGAAGTGGCTGGGCCAAAACCAAAAGGATGCTCTGCCGTGGATGTGTCTGATGGTGAAAAGAAAGTCTGATGCTGCAAAGAACAGTACTGCATAGGAACCTGGAATGTAACATCTATGAATCAAGGTAAGTTGGATGTGGTCAAAAATGAGATGGCAAGACTGAAAATCAACATCTTGGGAATCAGTGAACTAAAGTGGATGGAAATGGGCAAATTTAACTCAGAAGACCATTGTATCTACTACTGTGGCCAAGAATCCCATAGAAAAAATGGTGTAGCCTTTATAGTCAACAAGAGAGTGAGAAAGGCAGTAATGGGATACAATCTCAAAAACAACAGAATGACCTTGGTCTGAATCCAAAGCAAACCATTCAACACCACAGTAACAAAAGTATGTGCTGTCAACACCATAAGGGCAGGTTTTCCCACCTTTAAAACAATTTACTAATTGCAAAAGCAGGAGATGCATATATTTAATTCTCTGCCCCTTGTCAGCTTTTATATGTAGGGTGTACTTTAAGACCTATACATTTCAGAATCATGGAGCATAAATCTAAAATTAGAAATAACTCTGGATGCTCCGTTAACAGAGCATTTTATCATGCAAAAACATTGCCCAGAGAATCTTAGATTCTTGGTGTTAACTGTAGTAAAAGAACATATGTACAACCGGCAGGATGTACTTAAATATTTATTACAACAGGAGGCGTTTGGGATTTTTCATTTACATACTTTACAACCAGAAGGTCTGAATCAGGAACTTGATTATAGCCATTTTGGGGGGGGGGGGTTGTGTGGTTGGTTTGAAAACTTGAATTTTGCTAATTAGTGACACCTGCTGTGGGTGCTGGCTGTAGAGTTTAAATGGTATGTTTGTGAGGTGGGGTTTGAGAAGACAGATTTTAAACAGGAGCAGTATGCCACAGAAGTAATTGCAGAAGTCTTCCATTCATGTAGTCTTTAAATGGTGAGTAAATGATTAATAAGAGATTATTTGTATCTCCATTGTATGTTTGCTGAGTGTTTTGTGACTCTTTTGTATTTTTTGTATTTTTGTATTGTATACAGTGAGAATTCTTTGATAAAGATAAAGAAATGGACTGAAAGTAAACCTGGACCCTGTCAGAATCTTTCACAAGCTGTACTAAACTAAAGTATATGCTGTAAAATCTTTCACAAAGTTGTATGGAACATAAGTACATGCTGTTGTTTGTTATTATTGGTTAGTGTGAGAAATTGTTGTATTGATACAAACAACAAGGATCATATAAGTTACATTGAGCACCAGTGTATTATTCATTAGTAACTTTAAAGAAGAGTCTTTATATATTGGTTGCCATCTCATGGTATATATTGTGTTTGTATTGGCTCAAATACTTTGGCCACCAAATGAGAAGGGAGCACTCACTGGAGAAGACCCTGATGCTGGGAAAGATTTTTTTTTTGTCCCCCCGAAGGGGAATTTTTTTTATTTTGCATTTTCTACACACTACACACTACAAATATGGGATGTTGAAAGGAATACTAATGCCCTATCACTATTACTATGGGAAATGGGTCAGGGAGATCTAGATACCTAAAGTCTACTGGATAGGGGAAGGAAAACTACCACTCTATTCTAAATCTTCTACTGGATATGGGGATAGGGTAAAGACTAATACAAATCACGATCTGAAAAGCTAAAAGAATAGATCTTTTTAACCTATTAATACGGGTTATACAGAGATTAGTTTGATTATACAAATATAAAATTATTAGCTTGGCACAATCACTGCCCTTAGCACTCATGCTTTAGTTTTAGAGTCTTTTCTTCTTAGAAGATGCTGGGAAAGATTGAAGGTAAAAGAAGGGGGGACGGCAAAGGATGAGACCCTGGAGGATGACGGAAGAAAGGAGGGCCGGGAGTGATGTGGTCCATGGGGTCACAAAGAGTCGGACTCGACTGTGCGACTGAATAGCAACAACAACACTCCTTGAGGCAGAAGTACTTGACAAGTACTGGGGAGAAGCAATCAGCACTGCTACCTACCTGCAAAACAGATTACTGGTACCTACTAAAGTTGCACATAGTGCACCATTTGAACTGTGGTACAGGCACAAACACAGCCGGAATAATCTAAGAGAGTTTGGATCAAAAGCCTACACTTACATTCCTAATAAATAACTAAACAAATATTTATCTACACTTTAATCAGGTTGTGCACCCTTTGTTGTTTTAATTACTGTGGCAACACCACAAGTATTACAAAAATAATTTATCAGTTGTAATCTAAGAGTTCAGTCATGTGACAAATCTCCTCAATAAATCTGCAAGTCCAATTCCTATAAAATGACATATTCTGCCCCCCCCTACATATATTTGATGTCTGAAACCCACTGTAAATCTGCATGGAATAGCTTACAGTGCCATTCTAACCATTTAATAGACCTGAGCAGGATTCTGAATCTTGAATATGATTCTTACATTAAAAGAAGAGATATTTAACATCCAGATATTGCAATACGTTCTGCTCCCATATTCATGAAAAATTAGGCACAAAGCAAAGGTTGCAAATACCTTTTGTCCAGCAGGATCTGCTAATACTATCTGTGAAGAAAGGATCAGCCACACCGTAAAAATCTGCCTTTCCATTTTGGGAATGACACAGTCACAGAGAAAAGTACTAATGTACTGGGAGGAGTTAATAAATAACTATGGTCTGAAGGTAATGTGAGCAATGAGTAAGTGTCATATTTACAAAATTTATACATAGTCATTTCCTTTTTACTTTTGAGAGCTATCAAACAAGTAAATAATCAAATAATCATTGTTTGTCTTGCAAAATTTCCTGACATTTTGAAGCCAGGGGGACTTTTTTCCAGTTTTGGGTGGAGAGAAAAAAATTGAAATTCTGGGAAATATTGAAATGCATTGAATACTTGCTATCGTATCAGACCTAAACTAATTTGACTGCTTTAATAACATAAAATGTATCATATATAACTTACTTGGCATATAAAATTGCAATATTTGAAATATTTATGGAATATAAAAGTTATAAATGCTTTAATTTTCTAAAAGCAAAAAGGTACACATACCCAGTACTTAAGAGCAAACTGCAAGCTGATGCACTATATCCTTCCTTGGCACATATACCTTAATTTTTGTTATCTGAAAAGCAGAAAAAATAGGAGTTAAACAGAAAACACAAGCTATGTGTTAAATAACATAAAATATTTTATTTGGTCAGAAAAATGAGTTGCAGAAAGGGTCAATAATAATATCTGCACAGCTAGATGTAGCTCCAGTTGGATGCTGCCTTCTTGTTTCTGTGGCTAAATGGTTAGAGAGAACTCAGTTCTCGATGAAACTTTCAGAGTTTTCCTTGGAAGCTTTGGTGCAGTTTATGCTCCACCTCCTTCTAATCTTTTTCCCCTCCAGCAAGGTAGAGCAATGAAGCTGTGATCACACGCACCTTTAGATTTGCCATAGGTGTGAATGCCTGAAGGATCTAAAGGGAGTGACCAGACAGCAACATCTGGGAAGCGTACCGCAGTCGTCGGCAACCCATGCTGCTCCGCCACAGAAGCGGAGTTAAAAGACACCAGGGAAAGTCCGGTAGTAAACGGGTTCCGATGAGCCATGGCTGGACTTTCTCCTGTCTGATCACTCAAGCACAGTGTCAAGCCGTCGGAATGGTCTGATCAAGCCTCCTGGCTTGGTGCCATTCCCCTCCCCTTTGCAGTATGCACATCATTGCATATTCCATAGGGGGCCCTCAGTGCGGAGGTGTGATTCCTCATTTATGTGCATGGGAAACAAATGGCCCAAAAAAATTCCATGACATACCCGCAGTTGTGTCTGATCACACAGTGACAGGCTGCGCCCACAACTACAAAGGGAGGTGTGATCTTACAACTGCATGCCAAATTCCTCTGGAGGGAATAGCCTTGCTTCCCCTCCACTTCAACTGGCGCATGTGACCACAGCCTAAGATACTTGGTACCTAATCTGCGAGTACATGTGTCATAGTGGTTTGAGGGAGAAGTAAAAAAGTCAACCATAAGAGAAGAGTCAGGTCAAAAGGGCCACAGAAACAATGAAAGTCCTGCATGCTGCCCTCATGAAGATCAGGTATCCTTCTAGGAGCAGAAATGTATCTTGTATTTAAGAGCTGTAAATATTCACAGCATGCCCACCTTGTCTTTAAAAGCATTTCACTAATTCTGAAAGATAAAATATTTCATAGGAGGTTTTTTTCTCAGTACTCCCCCAAATTTCAATTTTTTTCCAGTAGAAAAAATGAAAAAAGGCCTTGGGAAAAATTAGGGGGGAAAACCTGGTCCCCCCCAAAAAGTTTCCTGGGTTTTTTTCTGGCCCTTCACATCTCTAGTCCTACATGATATGTCTCAATTCAATTCCCTTCCAGACTGTTTTTTACTTTTTAAAAAAATATGTCACAGAATGTACAGTTAGCCACTGCTGCAGTAAGAATCTCATGATGGGTCATGTTCCTGATTCACAAGTATTTGTAGGTTTCTTTGTGAATTAGTTGTATCATAGAAGAAATATTAGTTTTGAGCCCACCTAAAATTTCCATGGATGGAAGGATTTCCACCTGCAGAGCATGATGACCATACCGCTCACTCCTGCTGCAGCCCAAAATGCTCCCTGAAATGCCCCTCCTGGGGGCAGGGGATGCCTAGAAATAACCTGGGAGAGTTAAATTGTCACAGAAAGTGGAATAAAAAATTGGCCCTCTTTCATCTGTGGAGATTTTAAGTGAGACTCAATGCATTAGGCCCTTGACATGTCTGTGAAAGAAGTTATGGTGGATATTGTTCTTCATCCTCTAATCAGCATCCTTCTTGTGTCCACTTTGGTGACCTTACTTTTCAGCAGAGAGATTGAAATCATGATACTTACTCCAGAAGTGAGGTGGCAGTGTGCAGTTTCATGGAACAAGACAGTGCATATAAGGCTTATGTGTATTCTGCTGTTTTTCTGCTGCTCAGGACAATTTAGTAATCTGATGGTATAGCAGTGTGCCATTCAGTAGTGTACTACTTATCAACTGTTATTTATTTATTCATTGAAATTTTTATATTTCACCCTGCCTTGTCTGGTTGATGCCAGACAGGAAACCTTAAATGGGGGATACAGCCAGTAGGTGGCAACGAGAAGACCATAGCTGATATTTGGGGACATATGAGAGTAGCTAGGTGTGACCCACTCCTTAGAGACTCTACGTCCCACCACAACCTTTGTCACGCAGGTTCAGGGATACAGGTAAGTCAAGCAATCACAGTTCACCACCTGTCTTGTTTAAATATATAGAGAATCCTGGCCCTTTCACACACCAGGTCCCCTCTCTGTCATTTCGAGAGGCACTACCAGACAGGGCAGCTAATTCCTCTTTATCAACCACCCTTCATTCAACTTCACAGAGATATTGGGGTTGGGATTCAAAGAGTGAAAAACAGACCAAACTCTATATGAAAAGTCTTATAATGTCTCGAAATACCTGATACTAGTAGATAATGACATTATACAGCTGTTTTAATGTTAATGTGTTGGTACTATACCTAATTTGTTGGTTGAGTTTAAAGATTGTCTTTGAATATTAACTACTGAATATTGTTATACCTATATGTTCCTTTGGAAAACAAGTTCAGTAATTTGTCTTGTGTTATATTTTTTGAAAAATTAATAAAAAACACTGCTTTAACCACATGCTGCCACCATTTATCTTAATATAGGTACAGGCTAAGATCTTCTATGAGCATGTGTATGTTTCTTCCCCTCATACAGCACGCATTCAGTCAGTTGGGTTAACCATACAAAAGAAGTTAAATTTTATTGAAGGTTACAAACAATGTTGGAGTGATTAATGGAAACACATATACAACGTTTCTTCTTGAACTTTTGAACTTTAACTCTATGCTTTCAAGCCTATTTGCCACAAGTTATCTTTCTCTCAGCCACCATTCTCTCTGTCACTTCTACTTCACTCTAGATCTTATTCCATCTGACTTCTAGGCTGATTCCGCACTAGAGCTGCCTCGATGTTGCACCGCCATTTGCCCCAATACTATTGGTCAATTTCATTCACACCCAAAGCCGCGGGGCTGCATTTGACCCACAGCTTCGCCCAATTTCCTCCGCAGTTTCGTGATCCTCAAAAAACAGGATCACGAACCTGCGGGGGAAATCGGGCGAAGCCACAAATCAAAATGCAACCCTGCAGCTTCGGGTGTGAAATTGACCAATAGTATCGGGGCAAACGGCGGCACAACATCGAAGCAGCTCTAGTGCGAAATCAGCCCTAAACTAATTACTCCAATAGCTTGTCTTCCCAACACTCCATCAGCAGTCATTGGCTGTTCACAGAGAGAGGTGGAACTGGACCAGTCCATAGGGTTGCCAGGCTGTGCCTGATAAATGGTGGGAGTGACAGGCTGCGCCCACAACTACAAAGGGAGGTGTGATCTTACAACTGCGTGTTACATTCCCCTGGAGGGAATAGCCTTGCTTCCCCTCCACTTCAACTGGCGCATGTGACCACAGCCTAAGATACTTGGTACCTAATCTGCGAGTACATGTGTCATAGTGGTTTGAGGGAGAAGTGGTTGATATTTTGTGCACCACTGCATCATTTTCAGTGAAAACTCAGAATTTCCCATGAAAACAAAAAAAAACTCAGAATTTCTCATGAAAACAAAGTGAATTGCTGGAAGCTCTATGGTTTTACAACAGAGTTTTTGGTAATTGCAGTTCCTAGAGCTACCCTATGTCACCTAGGTTTTCTACAGAAGTGATGTAATGTTACACATAACACCAACCTTTTTAAGGCAACATGGGCTGCTAGTGGGAGGTCTTCTCCATAGTGAGAGGCCTGGCAGCCATAGAAGTAACCAGTCTAGATATGTGGGTTCTAGGCCATGGAAGGCTTTTAAAAAGCTCATAATCAGCCTCTTGAATTAGATGCAGAAACAACTTGGAGCCAATTTAAAACAGCCAATTTAGCTGTTTTAAGATGGGCAAGATATATTCTTATCAGGTAGTCCCTGACAATAATTAGTCTGTCACATTCTGAAGCAGCTGCAGTTTCCAGGTGGTCTTCAAGGGTAGCCCAATGTAGAGTGCATTACAGTAACCCATTTCTGAAATTGCAAAAACCTGGATTACCATGGCCAAATTGTCTAAGAAAGGGAGAGCTGGTGAACCAATTACAGCTGATAGGAGACTCTCAGCCACAATACCACCTCTCTTTTCTGCATATTGATGACATCCAGCCTCGAATCTTGGGATGATCTCATTCAGTTGCATCACACAAATGTTGAAGAGCAAAGGTGAAAGAATAGAACCCTGTGGCATTCACAGGACAAACACTACGCAGCTGGTTCTGCTTCTCCAGACATAGCACTTTGTTCATTCAGACAAAAGAGACTGGAAACACTGAACGGTTACTCTCATTGCTACTGAAATTGTTTTTTCTAAAGATAGTCCCAGGGTGACAGCAATGGTGACATCATGTCTCTAATACTTCGCTCCTCCACCACCACCACAAAGGAAAATTATTAAGGAAGAGAAGCAAAGCCATAGCAGCAGAGTGAAAATGACAGCGCTTTCTCTTCTCCAAATCTCCATCT